TTGTATACTGTACTACAAAACAAATTTAATTGTTGGGCACTCCCTCTCTGTGTCATATTCTTAAGTAGGTGGGGATGATTATGAAACCAACGGAGTTCCCGTCAGAAGCTTGCTTTTACAGCAACAAGATTAGGCTATTTTTTGCCCTGAAAGAACGATGGAGCCTTCTTCCAGGGCGGGGAGAAATTCGAGTAAGCTTTTCCGCTGGCGCCCGCGCCTGCACACGGCTGGGTTAATCGGGAAGACTCTCCTCCACTACATTTAATCCCGTTTCTCAGCTTGGACTCTCGTCTAGGGCGCGCGGGTAGGGTGACGGTGGGGAAAGAGGCCGCGAGAAGCGCCATCCCCACACAAAGGAAACTCGGCCGAGCTCCCCCCGCCCTTTGTCTTTTCCGTCTACGCCACATTTTCTAGTCGGCGCGTCCATTTTAACGCCGGGGCGGGGATAGAGGAATAGACGGAGGAGGAACAAAGACAGCCGCCGGCATTTTGATTTCCCCTCATTCACCGCATGGCGGGGCCAGCCATTAGCATCCGCTCGAATGAAGACAAAGGCAAATGGAAGCCGGCTTCAGCGAGAAAACGGAAAGCGCCAAGGGGAAATAAAGCAGCTCAATTCATGCATTTTTCTCCGCAGAATCACTCTTTTTCCCCCCTTTTCCAAACATCGCGTTTACGGCATCGTCTTTCCCTCTTTCCGCCCACGCAGCCCGTACACCTTTCGTCATCTCTTCTCATCCTTTTTCTCTTTCTTCCGTTTCTGAAACCCCTGAGCCTCCACAATCTTAATTTCCACCGTCAAAGCCAGGGGTATCTGGGAAGCCTCCACCCGCTTCGTCAAGGGGCGCCATGGCGCTCGCCCTTTCCCCCCACCTTTTCCCTCCCGCCCGCACGTCTTCTGCGGACGCCGGGAAACGGCTCGTTCTGTCGCCGCCGCCATTTTAGCGACCCCGCTCCTCGCTCCAGATTGTAGGAAGGGAGCTTCAGGAGGTACTAGGGGTCGATCGTAAGCTATCTAACGCGAGCCCCCACGGCTCACCCGCGGTCCCTCTCACTGGAATACCCAGGCATGATGATAGCGGCGATCAAGACGGCCTTCGACAACAGAGATTGAGATGATGACGAGGACGAAAATCAAAGCCGATGACGAGGGCGACTGAATGGGGAGTGTCTGGCCAGCCGGACGCCGGTTATATACCCGGCACCGCCGCGAATGCCGGGAAGCCGGCTTCTGACGTCACTGAAGACCCGCCTCCTCCACTCTGGATTCCAGTTCGAGCGGGCTGGAGGTTCTCCGCCCTTTTCCTTGTGGGCGGGGTCAACAGCTATTATGTGGTTTACGGGAGACGCAGCTGTCGTCCTGTATTATTTAAGCCGGCCGGCTGGAGGGCCGGCTGGCCAGTGCTCTGAAGTTTCTTCAAGACCAAAGTGAAGCACCAGCACTCAATCGTTTCAGAGCCCCGGCGCGGTCAACGGCTTGTGGAGTTTTAGCTTCCGCCCTCCCCGTTTTTCTGTTTCACGCCCACGCAACGCAGAACGAGAGCCGCCCACGCCTGCGCACACCACGTTTTCTCTGCCTTGGGGGCGGCGGGGTGGGGGGTTAGTTGCTTTCACAGTATTTCTCACCACTGACCTTGCTGGCAGAGCCTTATTGGGAGAGTTGAAGTAAAAATATCTAGACACCTGACTTCTGTCCACCTCTGTGCTAAACAATCCTACCATTTCAATGGGTGTGCATAAGGTTATTCCAAACATTAGCTTTATTACAATCCAGCAGCATATTGGAGTCTGGATTTAAATTCAGCTACCTTCACACTGGATTGTAGCTCATTTTGTGACAATTTTCTTGACAACAGCAACGACTCGTTTATGTAAATAGACCCTCAGTGATAGAATGCTATTTGCCATGCTCAATTGCCATGCTATAGTTTACAGTCAATTTACACACAGCTGTTAAGTAATCAGGTAATGCTTATATGAATGTATGAACCAGGCTTCAGATAATCCAAGGTCATATGTCAGGAATTCATACACCATTTCCCTTTACTCAAAGTAAAAGAATTTCTCTTGACAAACTTGACAGAGTTTGCAATACTGTGTGTGATCTCAGTTAAAAATGTGTAATCCTCAGGTGGACAAAGTGGACAAATCTACACCAAAGCTATGCAATCAAAATGTGCAAATAAAGACGGGTGTTTAGGATTGCTAGGCAGGAGATGTCCATTATGCAGGAGACAAGGTGTTTGGATTCCCTGGCAGTAAGTTGCCACTATTCTTCCAGTAGGACTATGCCTTTAATGAAATAATGTCATCATATTTTTTCCTTTCACTGCTGAGACAGTGTGGATCCAGTGAATGACTAGCTTCTCTGCAAACCTGTTAGAGCCCTGCCAGAAAATTATATCCATCCTCTGGATAGCCCGATCCTGTAGTCAGGCCAAGATGCGTGTCTTTCAATCTTCTGTATAATCATGCTAAACCTTATTCTATCTGCATAGTTTCAGCGAGAGTAAAAATATACCCACTTGACAAAAAAAAGGCTATCTGCACATTGGTAAGCAAACTGAGTCAAGAAAAAAGAGGTAACAATGTTACTGTTTGGTTTGTATTTGATAATAGTTCATAATATGAAACAAGGATACAGATAACACCAATAATATATTGGGGTAGTAAAGCACAGGACAGGGTGGCAGTGAGAGAGAGAAGCATACATTCCTCTGGAGTCAAAGGATGCAGAACATCCATGGATCCACAGAGCCTCTTGGAAGAATCCCCACTGTTATTCCCACTTTGAGATTTCAATCATCAGAAATAATTGTGGAGACTCCTTTGCATCCTGCTTCCTCAATGGAGCCACTTCCCAGCATCACATCAAGTCACCTAGTGTCTGTATCTCCACTCAACAAACATCATTCAGTCCACAGAGGATCAGATGGGGGCAAACTGGCTCTCATCCAAAAACAGTTTTTCTCTAACCTAGATGATAATAACCCGTCACAATCCTAGAATGCCTGGGATCACAATGCAGCAGTGCAACAAATTCCTGCAGAGCAATGAAAAGCCTTGATGCCAAGGCAGTAGCACAAAATGGATGATTAGCATTATGCAGGAAGAATGAGGACTGAGAACAGTGAAAGCAGCAAGTATTTAAGGAATACTTACACAGACAACAAATATAAGTCATAAAGGACAAGTAACAGTACAGCAATTCTCAGATTTCCCACAGGACCTTTAGGTTTTTCAATAAATATTCCAGTGGAACTCTCAGTTGTGTAGCTACAAAAAGTACTATCTATGTATCTTCCACATAGCCTGAAGTGCCTGATCCTGCCTAATCTTGAAAGACAAGCAGAGTCAGGCCTGGCTGAAATACATAATTGTTGTGAACCACCCAGGGTTATATATAGGGTTACATAATTGTTGTGAACCACCCAGAGAGCTTTGGTTACGGGCAATATCAAAATGTAATTTATAATAAAAATGTGCAAAACAATCAATACTAATAACAGTGCTAACCCATTAAGATCAGATAGCTTTACCAACCCTTTATAATTCAGCAATAAGGTCAGTTGTATGACACCATCCATTCTGACCTTGTGTACCAGAAGTTACAATGGACAGGTTGTGCATATGGGTATGCACACATCACATACTGAGATGTGCAACATCTTCCTATACCAAGGAAGAATACGTAAAGACAAATATAGGATTTTTACCCTCTCTTGTAAATACCCTCTCTTACTTTAAATACTCATTTAAATACTCATTTAAAGTAATAAGAAAGAAAAGACAAACACATGCAGTAGTTTCCACAGATGAGACATTCAAAAGCTCCATTTCCAGGAATAAATATGAAACCCTTCCCTTCCAATATTATTCATGCCTGAGTTTCCACGTTTGCTGACCCAGCTGGCCACAGTTCTGAACCTAGCAGTTTTGCCCAACATCCTAGCGCACCTTCCCTGGCATGCTCATTCCCTCACCGTCTAACCTACAACCAATAGCTCAGGGGTTAATGAGCAGAAGAAGAGATGCAGGATTTTTCCAGGCTGTCCCAGCACATCTTCTCTGACTTGCGACCATTCAAGCTCTCTTAGCCTTAGAGGTGCAAGAAAGCTGGCAGTATCTCCTGTGCGTGTGGGGTGTGCGTGTGTCGAGCCGTTTTACATTTCCAAGGCTGACAAAAGAGTCTGCTGTGTGAAAACCCTGGCAGCGAATCTATAACTGCTCCGCTATACAGAGCCCTCCCCGCCACCCCCAGCCGGGCGCACCCAGCTCTGCTCGTGAACACGGCGCACACACGTGCTTCTCCTGCCTGGGCTAGTTGGCCGTCGGCGGCAAAGCTTACAGCCGATGACCTTGGACCAATCGCACTCTCAATCTAGCCTATCTCACGAAATTGTTGTATTAAAAGGGGAAGCTGTGATAACTCTGTGGGCCACGATGTGGTCTCTGGATGAAAGACTGAATAAGAAGCGTAATAAACATACACCTCTAGATAAATATATGGATATAATGCAGAATCTTGAGCTGGAATCCAGCTCCTACTATTAGAAATTCATATTCTCTTCGCATATTCTCTCTCTATATATATATATGAGAGAGAGAGAGAGAATGAGAGATGCTGTTAGCTGGATTATACAGACACTCTGTCATCTGGATTAGAGAAATGTGTTCTATAATAGAACTATGACACATGAAGCTATAAGAAAAGGAGCGGCGTCCCCGCGCAGGACGCTGCATTGGCGGCGCCGCTCTTCGCCTTGCCGCCTTCGAAGGGAACGCGGCATTCCTTCTCCCATCCCCCACCTCCGTTCCCACGGCAACCAGACCTGCCTGAAAATAAACAAGCTGCCATCGCTTGACTTCTAGAACACCGAGCCGGAACTAGGTTAATGACGGGTGGGAGGGGGCACGATGAGAGAAGCGTTACGAAGCTGCGAGGAGAGGCCCAAAGGAAGTCCCGCCTCTTCCCGTTCGGTTAGCCAATCGCAGCGCGGAAGGCTATCGGGCGGCCGAGCGTTTAAATCTCCTGTGGCTTCTCTGAGAGGGGGCTGGGGTGATTCCGGTTGCAGAAAGACGCTGCCTTCGAGTCGCGAAAGGAAACCGTGAAATGGGCACCACGGAGGAGAGAGGTGGGCTTAGGGCTGCCTTAGGGGGTGGTGGGATTATTATTAATATTTCTGTATTGCCCGTAGTCGGAGCTCTTTGGGCGGTTTACAGCAATAGTCATAGAATCGTACACTCAAGTCACCGATCCAGATTCTAATCTGGATTCTGGCCTGCTTAGCTTCCAAGATTAGGCAGGTTCAGGCACTTCAGGCTATATGGGATGAGCCCCCTCAGCGCGGGTCTCCATTTCCCTTTCGCTCTCTGCTTGCACGTCAGTGCCAGTGGGGTGGGATCGCTGCTGCAAAACGACAGAGGATCTTGTGGTATGATGTTTATGCCAGAATAAACGAGTCGTTAAGTGCAGCAAGAACTCTTCGTTGTTCTTGCTGCACTTAGCTAATCTTGTGGAATTTGATACAAAACCTCCTACTTCAGCCTCTAGTCCTGGAGAAACTGCAAATCTAGAGTTTCTAGATATATAAGCAGTCTGACTCCATGCAAACAGTCAAGAACCGAACAGAGAGTCTTGTGGAACTTACAGGGTTAGCGGATGTATTGTGGCTCCCCATTTTGGGTGGATTGGACCCTTGTCTGTGAGAGCTCATGTGCATCTTGGGTTTTAAGGTATCACGTGACTCCTTTTATTAGTGACTGCACAGCTAAATGTTCAGTTCAAAACAGAACATGATAAATGTTCAGAAATGACTTTTTGCTCCTTGTGGTACTGATGTGTGATTTTTTTAAAAAACTAAAACATGTGACATGGTTGATGATACAGTTAACAAAGCTAGCTTGTTTCGGTCTCCTATGTCTTTTGTGTAGTCTTGTACTTCAGAAACCGAAAAAAGAGAAGTTGATTGCAGTGCTGCTTAAAATAGGAGCTTGTTTGTTTATTCAATTTATATCCTTCAGTGAGCTCAAAGCAGATTACATCCTCCTCCTCTTGCTTTCAGCCTTATCCCCACAACAACCCTGTGAGGTAGTTGGGCTGAGAGTCAGTGATTGGCCCAAAATCACTCAGTTGGCTCCATAACTGACCAGGGGCCAGGACTCAGTTTGCCTGAGGCCTAGACTAGTGCTCTTAACCGCTACACCACACTGGCTGTCCTACAGCATACCCAGGGCTGTTGCCTTAGTTTGTACCTCAGTATTCAGATAGCTGAACACCTCATAAAATGCTTTGCTTCTAAGGCAAGACATTTTCCTATTTTTTAGAATAACTTCTATGTCAGTGTTTGGAAACATGTTACCTATAAATACACTTTATCCACATACTATTCAATTTGTTTTGTAGTTTAACAAACTGCACCCCCACATTTTCCTTCAATTTCGGTTTTCAATCTTTTAGCATACGTATTTCCTTATTGTCTTGGTATTTTACATTAGGTCTTTACATTTGAAGGCATGTTGTGCCTTTAAAATATTTTTAAATAGGTATGAAGAACATTTATTTGTTCTCCATTTAGGCTGGAGATAATTATGCTGATTTAGTGTTGCTAGAAGTTGAGTTTCAATCCAGAACAGTTCCAGAAGAGTAGCAATGCTAGGCTTAGTCCTCTGTGTGCATACACATATGTGTATCCAGATTGGTACTAGCCATTTGTTAACAGGAAACTGCTGTTTTAATACATCTCTGTGTTGTACATATAAACTGGTTTAATAGTCAACCTCTCTTCTTAAGGAATGATAAAAACTGAAGTTCTTTAGGAGAGGATACTAGGGATTTTTGTCAATATCTCACAAAGTGATATTCCTTCAAGAAGGTGAGAGCAGGAAAATACTTAGGATTGCAGTGTAGATATAAAGCTGATCATAGGACTGCAATGTAGATACAATCTTAATAAGCAAGCAAACAGATAACCTACAGCATCTTGAATAAAGCTTTGAGTTTGCTCACACTACTAATTTGTCCAGGAGCAATCTGCTATACAAAAGTGGCATTGTGGGAGAAGGAAATGGGGTATAGGTGTTATCACTCATTTTTCTTAAAATATACACTCTGTTCTAAAAGCAGCATTGACTACTGCAGCATACCAAAACACTTCAGAAGAAGATCAGTTTATAATTTATAGGCTACAGAAAAGCCTGTGACTGTGTCGATCATGAAAAACTATTGTATGGTTCTGACGTATAATGTATCATGGAAAAGAAGCTACTGTTAGAACTGAAAAAGGAGAAACACAATGGGTTCCTCCAGGCAAAGGTGTCAGATGAGGGTGTATTTTTTCTCACTGTTTAAATGCATGCAGAACATAAGGAAAGCTGGAGTAGGATCAAAGGAAGGAGGAGGGAAAACTGGTGGAAGATACATCAATTTAAGATATGCAATGGATACTGTATTACTGGCAGAAAGCAGCATTGAATTGAAACAAAGCTTTGGGACAGAAACTCAAGAACTTTGAGTCCCAGCTATTTTTCTTATCCATCCTTCTGGTACTTCAAAGAGGAATACAAAAGGAAAGAAAAAAATCCTCTAAAAGAATGTCTGGCTCTGAATATGGTGTTGACATGAGAGATTTGGATTTTGGGACTATGGGTTATGCTTCTTAGAAGTTGGACTGCTGGCGAAGGACAGGTTGCACCTCACGGACTGGAAAGCATCTGCTTGGTTGCAGCATGAAGGAACACATCAGGAGGGCTTAAAACTGATTCCTAGAGAGAGGGAGAAGTAAATTTGGGGATAACAATGGACAAAGTCTTACATAGCACAACAGAGAGAGCAGCTCTAGTAGCACCCAGTAATAATCTTCAGGAATGTAGGAGGAAGGCTAGGATGTGATCTTCAGTGTCTATATACTAATGTCCAGCACATGGAAAACAGATAGCATGAACCTGAATTCTTAATACAGGAGGGTGAATATCACTTAATAGGTTTGACTGAAACTTGGTGGGATAACTCCCATGACTGGAATTCAGCAATGGAAGGATATGCCATTTTATGTTCCTTCTGCTCTTCTTGAAAGGGAGCCAAAATCACACTATATGTTAAAGATACATATCTCTGCACGGTAATACAGGAGGATGAGCTTAGTGGCCCCATCTGGATTAAAAGTGATGTAGCAAAAAAAGGAACATGGTAGTTGGAGTTCACTAACAATCAACCGAGTCAAAGGGAAGGCAAGAATGAAACTTTGCAAGTGAATTGTCAAGGAGGCATAATGCAGTAGGTATCACTTTCCGTGAAAGACAAATTCTTCCAGACATGGTCTTTTAAAGAAATTGCTGACTTGTGTTACAGATAACTTCCTCCTACAGAAAGTGAAGGAAATAAAGAATCAGCTATCTATGTTTTTATTCCAGCCAACAAGGATGACGTAGTCAAAGGGACAGTTGCAGAAATCTGGGAGAAAGCAGAACATGTCATACCTGAATTCTTGGTTCTAATGGAAGCAAAAGCCAAGTGTTGCCAAACACATAACCTGAAAGCCAATTTTAATAGAACAGTGCTAAGTAAGGTCCCATGGCAAGCAATTCTAGTGAATAAAGGAGTTCAACACTGGTGGGAACTTTAAAAAAGGAAATCGTAATGGTGCTATTACAGTTTTAACAAGAAAGCAAGGGAGGAGACAAAAGTCAGTGTCAAAAGTCTTGAGAAATGACCTGCAAATGAAAAAAGACACATATAGGAAATTTTGAATGACTTTTTAACATCTGTTTTATCTTTGTGTGATTTCCCATGCCAGAATCTGTCTGGATATGGAGCAGTATATAAATACTATAAATAACGTAAATAATTTACACTAGCATAAAAATTGGATGCCATTCCACTAGTGGTTGCACAACTGCTATCAGAACTAGCACAGCTATTTTACTTGGACTTCCAGAAGCCTTTTGATAAAGTCCCTCATCAAAGACTCCAGAGTATGGCATAGAAGCAGAGAACCAGTCGTGGATCAGTGACTGGTTAAATAATTAAAAGCAGAAAGTAGAAATGATACATTCCCAAAGTAGGGGAATATAAACAGGATCCCACATGGTTCTGTATTGGGATCAATGAGTTTTAACATATTTACAAATGATCTGGAAGTCAGAGTAAGCAGCAAAGTGGGCAAGTGTGCTGATGACATTAAATCATTTTATACAGTTAAAATGAGGGGTTGTGAGAAGCTCCAAAAGGATCTCTTTAAATTGGAAGGATGGGTGTCAAAATGGCAAATGTGGTTCAGTACAAACAAACACCAAATGATGCGAATGGGGCAAAAAGCCCCATTAGCAAGTACGTATTTAATGGATTTATATGCAGCTACAGTGGCCCATATCTGGGCTCTCTGCTCGGCTCATAATATAAATATAAGCTAGCAGTGATGATCAAGAAAGATATATTGGGGTTGTCATGGACAGCTTGGTGAAAATATTAACCAGTATGTGGCTGAATTAAATGCAAACAGAACCATTTTGCTTGCACAGGAGTATCATTAAATACAACCAAATGGTCCTTTCCAAAGAACTTAAATTCTTTCACTTTGCACAAGGCAAAAGTGAAAGAAGAGCCAGATTCCTACCTATGTATTACATGCACTTGAAGAAAATAGTTCAGTGAACTCTCATGTTATCTTTTTTCCCCTAGCAATCACTCCAAGTATAAAAAATGGGAACACTATAAATAAGTCAGAGAGTTAAAAGCATCATAAACTCCTTTAACTATCCTGCAACATCAAGCAGTTCATAGGAGCCTTTATCTTACTCCACTAGTCACACCTGGATAATGCATGAAATAAATGTTATGTTTCAGAGTATATTTTATAAATATTGATAATGGTAGGTGCATAGCAAGCTCTGAAAATTAGCATGTGTGTCACATTTTGGAATATATTTTGGTCAGTTTAATTTTACTTACAGTGATTTTTGCATGGTTGATCTTGGCCCTTAATGCTATTTTTTCACTAAGATCAGTGAGGAAATTGATACACCATTGACTACAGAAATAATTATATAGCTAAAGACCTGCCAGTTTAGGCTGCAATCCTATATCAGCTTACCTGTGAGTAAGCCACAATGAATTTGATAGGAGTCATTAATATACATATATAGGGATGTGCAGTTAATTGTTGGCAGTAATTGTGAATAATTGATAAATGACCATTTTGTACCCTTGTTGATTCAGTAAACACAGCAGATTTAATGTTGCTTTAAAGGCAGACCAAAAACTGCTCTTGGAGCTCTTGATATTTGTGCAAGCCTAAGTATATCTCTGCAAAACCATAACATTTCTTCTCTTTATTTTACTGCAGAATGGGTCGCTGTTGCCAATGATCTTCTGACAAAATGTAACATAGAGCTACATGTTAATAATCTCTCTGACTGTGGAGCTACAGTGTTTATTCGGCTCTATGAGTCCATACTGGGGGAGAAAGTTCCAGGTAAGAATGAAGGCATCACACCATTTTTTTAGCTTTCTAGATTTCAGGCAACTGTATGTATGTTTGCATATAGTGAGTATATGTGTAGATACATTGGCAACTTTTGCTCTGTGTGCAATAATTTTTTCATATATAGAGAACACATTTGCAGTTTTTAAAAGTAAGTAAATGTTATCTAGTTGCAGCTAAATGTAATGGAAAATTTAGGAACCAGAAATTTAAAAAATAAATACATTTTAAATTCTGTACTGATCTCAAACTGTGGATAGGGTTCCAGTCTGTTCATCCCAATTCTGTCCCAGTATTTCTTCTCACTCTCCAAGTCTGGGATGCCCAAAGCCACATATGGGATAGTACTGTCTGTGCTGATTGATGTCTGTGCTGCAATCCTGGGAGTATGTGCCACTGAATGTAGTGGGGCAAATGCCTGTATAGACATATATAGGCTTGCAGCTATAGCAAGTTACACTGGATCTGAGTTGACAGGTCTATCAGATGTAAAAGAGTAATTTTTTATTTGAAGTTCCAAATCACAAAACACCTGGGAATGTGAGTGTAAGTGTCTGCTTCAGTTTGTGCATGTGTAGTTATATGTTCAACACTGCATGTAATAATGGTTCATTGTTCTTGTATGTCAATTCACTGTTGCATATGCAAGGGTTCTGCAAGGGTTATGGAAAGGTCTGTGAAAGCTTGGTGTCACTTTACACAAAAGCACTTCCACAGTTCCTTGGGAATGCTGTAACTATTATCATATTTTACATATAAAACTCTGTTACAATGTAATGTAATAATGTACCTCCATTACTTTATAGATCTCATAGCCATGCCTACTTGTCAGGAAGATGATGCACATAATGTTCAGGCAATAATAGATTCTTTGGCATTGGACTACTTGCAGGTCAGCTTATCCCATATAACTGGTGAGTATCCTTAACTGGGTATTGTTGAGGGCTGTGCATTTATTTTGTGATGCTGTCCTCTTTATCAAATGCATTGTGCACTTGATGATATATAAGCCACCTGCTAGCAGGTAAGTAGGCATAGGATTTGCAGCCACCTTCTGCTCTACAGATCTAATCTGCTGAGCTAAATTTTATAGAGCTTAAGCAATGTTGTGATGGTGCCAACTGGCACTCCTGCAGCATGTGCCTGTTTGTCTTAGTAGTGTTAAGGGATGCAGTGCCTTTTTTGCCTCCAGTGTCATTCTTCTGTGGACAGAATGGCTCTGTTCATGGAAGATGGCCCCAGTCAATTTTCATGATCCTCCCTACCCCATACCACAGCTCATCCCATTCAGCAGGGCTTCCTGCGCCTCTCAGGAAGGGCTGCCTTGGAGACCATGGTGAGGTGTCAGATGCTTCCACTAGTCCAGTTACATATATCCAGATCTAGATCCATTTCCATAGTGGTGTTTGCAATTAGAAAAAGCTCACCTTCTCAACAGAATTAGTGAATTTTCATAATGGAGCTAGCTCATTCAGGAGCAATACTTAATCTCTGTAGTATATACATTCTGCTGCTGCTGAGATTCCAGAGTTGTTGCTGGGCATTAGGAAGCCAGCACATAGAGAAAAAAGCAGCACAGGGCAGTCCATCAGAGCATAGCTGCCTCTGTCATTGCTAGGCAGGACACAACAGTGAAAATGGAAGCTGGAGCATCTACTGCAGCCGCAGTCACTCTTGCTGCCAGACTCTATGGGGGAAATGTGGAAACCATGTGGAAACATAGTAACTGGGGTCACACATAACAAGTCATGGTGAAGCATGGAAACTTTACAATGAACTCTTGTTTCTCCACTTGGTTTCATCGAATCATAGAATAGTAGAGTTGGAAGGGGCCATGAAGGCCATCGAGTCCAACCCCCTGCTGTTGCAGGACACCACCTTACACCATCCCACTCATATGGCTGTCCAGTTTCTTTCTGAGTGTCTCTAGTGTGGGAGAGCCCTCCACCTCTCTAGGCAGCTGGTTCCACTGTCGAATTGTGTTGACAGTGAGGAAGCTTTTCCTGATGTCCACCTGAATCTGGGTTGTCACAACTTGAACTGATTATTCCATGTCCTACACTCAGCAAAAAGAGATCTTGACCTTCCTCTTTGTCTTTGAGGTACTTACAGAGGGATGTCAAGGAAAGCAAATGTTTCAGCATGGATGCTAAATTCCCACATAACCACAAGCCATGTCTGTATTTTGTATGAATTCAGCCGATGTGTTGGACTACAGCTCCTGCAATCCCCTGTCAGCACACAAGGTAGTGATGATGGGTGTTGTTGAAGAATAACAATTATTGTTTTAGTTTTAGGGATAACAGTTTAAGCAGGACGGGACAGCCTCATTCACCAGTATCTCTACTGTATCATCCATATCTGTTTGTCTTTTGTCAAGATATTAACATAGATTTCTATTCAGGAGAGAACATTGTGAAAGGCAATAAGGAGCCCATTAGAAATCTCTTGGAAGTAATGGATGGCTTGCTTGAGTACCTTACAGAAGAAATCAACAGTACTGCTTCTCATGATTGTGGTGAGAAAAAAGGCATACAAAATAGCCTGTGGTAATAGGCAATTCTATTTGATGTACTTGTACATACATGTATTTGTTTTTTCCAGTAGGAGTGGGTAATTTCTCTCATCTTCGTCATATGGTCTAGTTCTGCTTTCCCCAGTATGGAACCCTTGAGCACTACCTCATCCACAGACACCTCATCCACAGACACACTGTCAGGGCCTCTTTCCCCTGCTGAAATTTTACTAGAGATGCTGCAAAGTGAAATGCTGTTCACTAGTTTCCCGCCGTTATCAATTTCCCAGAATGCCTTTTGACTCCACGTCGGCAGAGGAAGAGTTAGGCAACCTGGGGGATTGGGAGGGAGGTGAATGGAGCAACCAGGCTAGTGGTAGTGAGAAAAAAGTAGCTGGCATGAGATGCAGAGAGAAGAGGAAATGCAAAGCAAAAGAGAAACATGTGTGCATGTACACTCACATGTCAAGACCACTGAAATGGATCTTCCTCAATTTGCATAGTTTTCCCATGGGGTCCTTGCAAAACCACCCTCAGATTACGGATACCACATGTCTTTATGGACTGAACCATAAAGAATTGATCCAGTGCTTATCAGTGCTGATAAAGCCCTAAAACATAGACCTGAGCCACAAACCCTTAATGGATCACTGTGGTTTTTACAAACAGCTACCCCAGAATCAGTAGCAAAGAGTAAGTTCCATAGCTACAGGTGGGGTGATTGAGTTATTGTTTAAACCACGGGTTATGAAGGCGAAGTGGCAGCACCCGTGCCTCCTGCATCCCTGTTGCTTCTGCTTTCCATTAACAATCCAGGAACTGGTTCCTGGGTGTTTCATCATGACATCTGAACCTAAACAAGTAGTTAAGCACTGCAGAGTTAACTGCTCTGTAGTTACTCTCCGTCTTTTGTTGTTGGATAAACTCTAAGTTGTGTTTAACCATTAAAGACCCCAGATTTCCCTCTATTATTGCTAATAGTAGAACAGAGCATTCCTGAGTTGTTCATTGAAAGCAGAACACTGAAAATAATTCAGTGTTCCCCTTTGATACTGTGCAGTTAGGTCATTGTCCAATACGTAGGCATTTAACTTAAAAACAAACATGTTATGTTTGGAAAACTCAATAAATAGAACATATTTGAATCCTTAACATTAAGCATATGACAAACTCCGCTCTGCACAGTGGATCACAGATGGGGTTTTATGCTTATGACTTATGCTTATGACGATGAGCATAAGACAACTGGCAGGATATGACAGTGTCTTGGCGTTGTCGGGGGCTAAACTGCATCACTTTGACATTTCAAGCTTGTATTGTACCATTAACTGACACCATTAATGTAGGTCTTTTCCCAAATATGCTGCAAAAAGTGATATAACCTTTGGTTCAGTCTTGCATTTTTGGCATTGCTAGGCCTGACTGAGGCCTGAAAACATTAACCTGATTGTCCCCTAAACTGAATGTTCTTGTAACTGAAACTATTTCTTTCTCCTGTATGAAAAAAACACTAAGCTAAATGTTTTAACAATTAGTTTTTGTAAACAAAGTCTCATTCTGCGGTAAGCTAACTTTTCTGATGTGAAAGTATGAAATAGCTGGTGCAGGTTGATTCTGAATTGGTCCTTCGTAACAGTGCCAGCACTCCTTACATAAACAGAGGATAGTTTATGGAAACCGGTGTGCTGGTAAAGTCCTAAGCAATAAAATTTTGCTGCTAGTCATGTGCTTGCAGTGCTGCTAGAGTAGATGTGTAGGATGAGGAGGGTGGGGTGCGTTCTATCTTCCATCCTTGTGGTAGGCGGAGCATTGACTGGTTCTTTGCTCATAACACTGTTGTTTATTGACAGATGCTCTTAACCAGATGACTAAAAATGAAATTCAGAGTGCTTGTCTGGAAGCACAAGAAGATGATTGTGATGTACCAGTTCCCTCCCTGAAACTACCTTCAGCTGAGGGGGAAAGCAGGTAGTTGTCAACTCCTTCACTGGGCTACATAATGCTTAACACATTAGTACCATGCATGTAAACCATAGGGGTGTTTCTTTGTTGCATTGGTCATGATTAAATCTATTGGCCATGCTGGCTGGGATGTATGGGAGTTGTAGTCCAACACATCTGGAGGGCACTAGATTGGGCAAGGTTGAATTATGTAAGACCAAAAGTTTATCTGAAAATATTTTTATCTAAAAAAATATGCAAAAATATTTAAGAGGGAGCTGGATTCTTTCCCCATTCCCTTGCATGCCCTCTCAAATTAATTACAGTTAAATGCAAATTTAAGAGAAGATTCTTGATCACCATAAGTGTAAATTGGATGCATCCTGTCCTTTTACATTGCTCAAGTGCATACAGGCTGCAACCCCAAGCAAATTTCCTAGAATTTAGTATAGTTAAAATGGAATAGAGACACTGAAAACCTGTTGACTGGACTCACATGCCTGTTTACTTGGAAAGAACTCCACTGAATGAATCAGTATTACTTGTGCATAAACAAGCATAAGATAAGATCACACTGTAACTGTATTGGAACTTAAGCTTTCTTGCATTTATCTTAGACTGAAAACTGTTATGCTTGAACTATAAAGGGGAATTAGAATGTAGCTACTCTAAGCAAGCTTGTGCTTTTGAGATTGTCTCATAAAATTTAAGACATATTTCAGAAGTGATGGAATTTTTCACAGCTGTCAATTCACAACTGTTAAAAGTTCCATTTAACCAATTAGCAAACTTGAATTACAAATTATCTAGCTCTTTGAAGAAACAGAATGGATAGTCTGGAGAAAGATAATATGCTTTGTTTTGCAACATGGCCAGGGCGACTTCTTTTATATTGTTATTTATTTTATATTGTTAGTTTTATATTGTTATTTTTGTATTATGTTGTGAGCCTCCCCGAGGCTTCGGCGAATGGGGCGGCATAGAAATGTTTTAATAAATGATAAATAAATAAACATCTAGCTGGTCTTTGTATCAGTATACTCAAACTTGAGCCAGGTAATTTGATTTTAAGAAGCTATACCTTCAGCTGTAGGAAAGATGCATGTTTTTTAGATGTTACATAGAATCTTGCTGGAAATACTTCCATCTGAATGAATATTGTATGTAATGGTTTATTTCATTCTATAAAGTTGAGTCCCAGTTATTCGCATATTTCACTAGCTTAACTTCATGTATACTGAGGTATTACATTGAACCTAATCCTTCCCCTGCAAAATGTTGTCTGTTTTATTTATCCATTTAAGTATTTTAAAGCCAGTTTTAGGGCTAAGGCCTCTGAATGCAACGTACAAAAAAGTAACTGCATTATGATGTAACTTGTCTTTCATATCAGAACAAATGTCCAGAATTATTTTGGGAATTGTTCTGCTAACATCAACAATGGTCAGATGAAAGACAGCTGTGAAGAGGAAGAAATTCTTCCAGACCGGCCTAAATGCTTCAGTGGAAGGGGCAAAGTATAATTTCTTTGGAAGAGGATTCCCCAGACTTGGGTCATCACCAAGAAGTTCTTACCAGTTCATCACCAGTCTTACTAATTTGAATAGCCCTCACATGAGAAGGCAAGCTTAGCATATAGGTAGGGATGCGTGGGTGAAGGCAGTCTCTCAGATAGCCTAGTCAGTGCTTAAATTTGGGCTGATAAATTCGTGCCTTCCCAGCAGGGACAAGTGCAACAGCACCCCGAGCTGCATGCCTGGCCTTCAGAATGAGTGGAATCCCATTCAGGACTGGCTCTATGCCCCTATCCAGATCAGTTGGCTCCCCAACCTACCCCCATCCATCTTTCAGGGTCAAATTTCAACTCATTCTCCCTTGCAAATCCCAGAATCAAATCCAGATACAAATCCTGGGATGCTTGCGTGACAATGAGAGGCTGAACCACATCTCATTGGTATATAGGTGACACCGAAGCCTGAACCTTAGGAAAGCTTTTCCAGCTGGCTTCATAGATGTTGAATAGGATGGGTATAGGATGGTACCCATATGCCTAGGGCCTTGGGGCAGAGCATGAATTGCTCGATACAATCACCTAGGAAGGACTGGAAACATAATAGCATTGTGTGCCTCCTAATCTCAGGCCAACCAGTCAGGATGGGAGAATACCATGGTTGGTGGTTTCCAACATTGCTGAGAAGTCAAGTAAGGACCAAGGGGGTGGTGCCAGCAGTTTGTTTTATTTCATTTCATTTCTGTACTGCTGAATAACTGAAGCTTGCTAGTGGGTTAGGATCTGAGAGACAATGTCCCCAACCTGGTGCCCTCTAGATGTGCCAGACTGCAGCAACCAGCATCCATGATCAAGTGACTGTGGAAGATAGGTATTGCAGTCTAACACATCTGGAAGGCACCAGTTTTGTGAAAGCTGATATGTTGGCACAGTCCTCTTAAAATACTAAAAACGTGGAAATGAATTGTTTGAACTGTGCTTCTCAGAAGCACCACCTTGTGGCCAATTCAAGCAAACAAATGTACTTCATTGTGTTTTGTTTAGATCTTACCAGTCATCAGAACTATTTGTACCATCATGGGAGGTGGATGGTTCAGAATCTACAAGCGAGCTAATTAAGCTTGGTGACACAGCCTATTTGTTTTCTCTGAGAAATGAAGGTGAGTAAACCCTGCAAAAATAGCAGTCAAATGTTAGTGACCAAATGGCTGCTTCATGGAGGCAACTTTACATAGTTCTCTGCGGAGGCAAAAAACCCCAAAAAACCCTGGCCTGCGCCAGCTTACCACACAGACTGTTAAAATAAATTGTACATTAAATAAATCTAGCAGGCATGAACACACTACAGAAGCAATTATGTTGAAAGACTGATAAATGCAGCCAGTTGCTATTGATCCAAAGGATCTCTTAGGATTTGCTGTCATCTGCAGACAGAAACCACCCTTCTGTGGCAGGCAGGCAATTTACATCAGCTCCAGGCAGCTTAGCCAATGGCCAGAGGTAATGGGAGTTGTAGTCTAAAACCTCTGGAGGAAACTAGTGTGGAAGCTTGCCCTAGGCAATATTGGCAGCTGCGTTAAAAGTATTGTTTATGGCACAGTGTTTATTGAAAATGCTTATATGTCACATTTTTCTACCATGGGAATCCAGGGCAGTTCACAGAACAATTATCCTCAAAATAAGATAAGCAAAATACCAAAACAGTTACGAGCTTTTGATTTTTGCAGGAGGCCAAGTGACAAGACCATGAGGTCTCTTTAAACTACTGTTGCAGGAAAGCTTCAATCTAAATCACTACTTCTTGTGACAGAACTACTTTTTATTGGCTTAGAATTATTTCAAATTCTTGAATTCCAGAATTCATTACTAGCATTGGATCCATTCAGAATATACCCAAACATACTTTTGTTTGTATTTTTCTCCATTGGAAATGTTTTATTCCCATAACCCATTGATGGCGAACCTTTTCAAGACGGAGTGCCCAAACTGCAACACAAAGCCCACTTATATATCGCAAAGTGCCAACACTGCAATAAAACCAAAAAACTGAGGATTAGTTTACAAAAAAAACCATAGCCAGTCCAAGGAAATACATATATATCCATGTCAGCACACTGACCGGCCATGTGAAAGCTTGGACGAGTGGTGGCTAAAGAGTCACGGCTTGTGATGTCATTGCCTGGCGCTGCTACTCCTTTCTGAGCATGCGCATGGCCTCTATGTCCGCTATTATCTGATGCTGGGCTGCAGGGGAAATGCTGGCACGACTTGGCTTGCATGCCGACACAGAGGGCTCTGCATGCCCGCTGTGGCGCGGGTGCCATAGATTCATCACCAATGGCCTAACCCTACCCTTGTGCATTTACTTTAACTGCTGCAATACCACTGAAAGGGGTGACTTTGAAAAAGCCTTCCTTGAGTACCTTTTTCTGCACAGTTCATCATTTCTGCATATTCTAAGCACATTCCAACCATCAAGATCATGCTAGGACACCTTGTTTTTCTAATCCTAACCCTACCCTGATGCACACCCCTAACCTTAATATAGGGCTAAAATACCATTGAAAATAATGCGATTTTGAAAAAGCCTTCTTGAGTAGCTTTTTCTGCACGGCTCATCATTTCTGTCCATTCTAAACACATTCCAACCATCAAGATCATGCCAGGACACCTCATTTTCCTAACCCTAACCCAGGGGTCGGCAACCTTTAACACTCAAAGAGCCATTTGGACCCGTTTTCCTCACAAAAGAAAACACCGGGAGCCACAAAAACCTTTTGACATCTAAAATGAAGGTAACACTGCATGTATTGTTTTTTACCTTTATGCTATGTATAAAAAAACTATAGTGTTGCATTTTTGAAATCAATGAACTGCTACAGAGAAAACAATTTTTTATCTCTGCATGCAACAAAAACATTTTGAACTCCGAAAAAAAGGCACTGGGTTGAAGGTTACTTTTAAATAAAATAGTCAATGTCTATTTGAGTCCTCCTCGTATTTATGAAATAAAAAGCCGAACTTAAATTATCCACCTGCAGCAAACAAAACATGCCACCTGCAGCAAACCAAAAATGCTGTCTGCTTCTGTGTGCCCTCATCCTTTTATCACGTGTACTGGAGGGTGCAGTCACCTGTCAAACTGAATAAAAAAGGGACTAATTGATACTTTCATACAGTAAGTGGAGTTTCTGCAATACAACAAATATAAATAATAGTCTGGTGAAATATTTAACAAACATCCCTCTCCCAATGTAATAATGTTGCTGGAATTTTTATAAGAATCTTCTTAAAACAAGGAAGTAGATCTATATCTTCATTATGATTTAGCTGCAACTCTTGTTCAGTCACTAAAAACTGTTATTTTTAATCTTACATTATAAACTAGTAGGATTCCTTTCATATGTTTTAAATAGGAGAACAGCTTCCTACAGAGTCAAAGTCAGTGCTAAAGGGCTGCATGCATTAAACAACAAACCCCATAAGTTCATCAGCAGTAAGAGCAAATGAATCTACCCACATACCATTAAATGTTTGGTTTTCTTCAGAAACTTTTCTTCGTTTTATCCATGGTTGGCCTACCAGGAGAAAAAGCTCAGTAAATCGGCGCTGGTCACAGATCCTGGCTGCCTGTGCAGGTCACAGATATAGGTGTGTTTAGGGACTGATTAGCAGATAAACAGTCAAGTGCTGTGAATTGTGACAGGTCCCAAGCGCAGCTTTTAACATTCAGATGAAGGAGATTACATTGGGACAAAGAGAATCTTTTCAGCAGGGTTTGAGTAACAAGAGAGCCTGCAGGAAGCTTGTTCCACTCTTTCCCTGCACAATAGCAGAGGAATGTAGCAATTTACTTAACCAGCTAGTGCAGGGTTCCTGAGTGGATGCCTCATCATCACCTAATGGTATTTTGTAACTCGGAGCCTGTGCTGGCACGTGTTTTGAGCAAGGGAGCCGCAGCAGAGGGATTCAAGAGCCACGTGTGGTTCTGGAGCCGCGGGTTGCCGCCTCCTGCCCTAACCCTACCCTGGTGCACACCGCTAACTCTAATATAGGGCTAACATATCCCATTTTAGGGATATGTTGGGGAAACTAGAGGGTTTTGGACTCAGTGAATCCATAACTTCCTCCTACAAATAGTGAAATTAGATGTGGGTGTTAGCTTTACACATTACTTTGTTACTAAGTGTGCTTTAGTATAGGATTGTATATTTCACATACATGGAAAGCAAATACATATTGAGTAAAACACAAAAACAGAGTCCTTGAAAGTAATTATTTGTTTTGTTAAAGAGGAATATAAAATGGATTAAAATCAAACATCAACAGAATTGGAATCATGCATACATATGGGAGATTAGAAACATATTAGCGCAGAGAAAAGTAAAAATAACAAAATTTAAAGTATACACTGAGGCTCGGTGCAATGAGATGTATTGAAAATTGCGTGTATAGTCAAAAGAGAACAGTTTTAGCAAGGGTGTATGTCATGGAATACTCTCTTATAATTTGTGTGGATATGATGTGTCTTTAGCTTTCTTTCTCTCAGGATGTAACTCTGCCACCAGGAATTAATTAACTTTTCCCTCAACATTGTGCCCAAGCTATAAGACTCCTTTGTTGGACTATGTGGTCCTGAAGAGAAGACACTGATATTCAAATAGCCTATGATGCTGAGTTAACAATATTTTTTAACAATAATTTTTAGCCGAGAATGCACTGGGGGGGTGTTATTTATTGTATTATTTATTGTATAATTTTAGTATTTGTGTGTTGTGAGCCACCCCAAGGCTTTGTTGAGATGGGGCGGCATAGAAATATTTTAAACAAACAAACAAACAAAATAAAACTTTATTTTTACAAGAAGCGAATTGGTTTCAAGATGTAGAGAGCAGAACAATGTACAATAACTTCTGACTGAGGGTTACCACCCTTTCCCTTTACAAACACTCCTCTCACACAGATCCTCCTTTCTCTCCTGCCTTCTCTCCTGGTTTCTGTCAGCTACTAACTCTCACAGCCTTATAATACTTGGCAATACTAGGTTTTGCCTCTCCCTAGTCACTAATATGTCCTCCAAGTATTTTACTTCCTTTCCTTTATCCTTATGAATCATTATAAGGCACAAACCTAATGTTTTTTGACTGGAAATAATTCTGGTTAGTGAATGCTGGGAGTCATAGAACTTTTTCCTGTCGAACCATGCATAGGATTATGCCCTAAAAGACCTTGTGCATATAAAACATAAAAGTCTTAGGATATAGTGATTCTGTCTATAGTCCATGAGAGGGTTTCACAAATAAATGCTCGAAACAATGCATTCCATAGATGAATGTCAAATTTACAACTGGCTGATTCAGATCTCAAGGGGAACCTCCCAACAGTCTGCCGCGGTATGGTGAGAATTGTCCAGTTTGCATGCCAAGCGTGCCAACCTAAATTCTTGTTAGACTGTTGTGTTGTTTGATCATTGCATTGCAGAAAGATCTTCATCTGGTGTGAGGAGCAAATGAATGAAACTAGTGTTTATTTAAACATCATGTGCTCTGACTCCCAGCTCCAAAATCCCTCGTTTTGTCTTGGGACAGATTGTGTGGTCAGCTGTTCTCAGACATTGTATAAACCAGTTCATTTGTTACTTTCACCCCCATGAGGAGGAATGAGATTCCTGCATGCATTCCAGATTGAGAGTTCTCATCGAATGCAGCAGTTGAGCAGATTTTCCTTCCTTCCTTGTTTTGTGGGAGTATAAGACCCCTATTTGGTTAGGGGAAATAGAATCTGTGTTCTTTCTTTCCTCTACTGCAGCAGCTCCAGGGCTGATGTAGGTTTTCCCTGTTCCCCCATTCCAGGGGTGTGCCTGAATGAGGGAGCCTCACCTGGTTTGCCATTAGTGCAGAGTAGCCACAGTGCTATAAACCCCTGCTGTTCTCTAGGGAGAACCACCGTGGGCGTACTTTCCTTTCCACTTAGAGAGAGGTCTTTTGCTCTTGGGGCATCATTCCTGGGTCTGTACAACTGCACCTTTCCCTATCCATATTCAAATGCTGCTAAACATTTCACTTTCTCAGAGTTGATGGCTTCAAGAGAAATTTCAAAGACAACTATAGAACCCAAAGGACTTGCAACCATTAGAGAGCCATCTAGTGATAGAAGGGCCCTTGCTACAGAAACTCAAGGTGAGTCTGTAACTACATTCCTCAGAAATCTCTTTTAAAATATCTTGTTCTCTTTTCTGTCATCAATTGTATTAATGTACTAGTTATCCAGTAAGGATTTTTCTATGTGTTTCTCCAGCCAGCTTCATTGTTGTTTGGTGATCCAGTGGGAGCAAACATGACTTCATGTTTGAGTGCCATATTTGGTAGACAGGCAGGGTATAAATAATAATAAAATACTTTTATTAGTGTTTTTCCAGCAACTTCCATCTACCTTTATCTAATTAAATAAAAATCCGTCCAAGTATTGTAATGAGTCTGGCTGCAGCTGGGACAAAGCCTGTGTGTTGAAAGTGCTCCAAAGGAAATAATTTAGTCACAATATCCTAATACTTTGTATGACAATCCAATAAATAACTTGCTTGGTTCCATGCCAGGACTGACATTTTAGAGGGAACTGCTCAACAGTGTGATTTAAGTGTATGTGTGGCCAGTCTATATTATCATTACATTAATTACATTTCTATACCACCCAGAGCCAAAGCTCTCTGGGATGTTCACAATATTTTAAGTCATCCATCCAGTTTTCAACCAGGTTCAACCCTCCTTAGCTTCCAAGGTTAGGTAGGATCAGCCACTTCAGGCTATACAGAAACTATAAGAAGTACATCAACTCAACCTCTAAATGGATTGCCTCTAGGAACAGAAAAGGCTGAGGAGCTTCCTCGAGTGCACATGGCTTCCCACGCCAAAAAGCTTGGGGACCCGATTCGCCCAGCAATTCCTTTGCAGCCACCCTATCAGCCTTTAGCACCTCAGCTGCCTTGCCTGGCGGGAAAAGGCAGTGGGAGTTCAGGCAGGCATTCACCGTCCCCAGTGCTGCCACCGGAGAGACCGCCAGGCCCTGCGTCCTCTGATGTGAGTGTGGATGCTTCCTTTGCTTCCCTTTGCATTGTCAGTGATTGTTTTACAGAGTGGTAGAATTGTATTTATTTATTCATTTCTCTGTCTAAAACGTTTTTATCCTGTCCTTTGCACAAGCCTCAGGATGACTTACTAAAGATTAAATAATAATAAAAAATGCAATTAAAACATTCAATAACAACAATTCAAAACTAAAAGAAAGAGAAAGAAACCTGCTTCCAGGTTGTCACTGCCAGGCCTTCCTGTTTCATCAGAATTTCCAGGCTTAGGAGGAAGAATGTATTCTTAATTGAATTCCCTATAAAGTCTATGTAATTATTCTGTTGCCCCCATGATGTCTGAGTAAATATAATAGGAGCCTGTGGGTGGTGCACTGCAACTAATGTGAGTGATTTGCAAATGTGATGGTAATGCAAAGCTACTTCGAAGTGACTGCTATTATGAGGAGCATATCTTAATATGCAGTTCTGCATAACCCAGTGTGAAACCTTTTACAGGTATATAGAAGGTATTGTTTGAAGGGTACTTCCAAAGGTAGCGGTTAGTCTATTACATGGACCAAGCAGTGAAGTTGCTATCAAGTGGAAGGTTATATAGAGAACATGTATAAATGGACAAACACACCTGGGGTCATTCTGTCTTTGTTGAAACAAACATAACCTAGCCTTCTTCAGCCTGGTGTCCTCCAAACAGTTTGGAGTATAGCATCCAGAGTCCCCCAGCCAGTCCTAACATATTATGAAAATAGAAACATCTCCATTTTTGGCATGAGTGGTTCAGTCAAAATGCATAATTGATGATGCTAGTTCCTTAATGAGAGGTGGCAAACCACTCAGAGCTGGAGCTGGGTTCCATTCAGCCATGGAAAGAGACCCCTTGCACAATGGAGCTCCTGTCCCCGCAGTCTCCAAATCTTGGAGCGTGGGCTGGGGGACTGCAGAGGAGCGGGGTGGAGGTGAGGGTATGGACATCCTGTGCTGCATTTTGCTTTTGTTTCATGGCATCTTGTCTCTCCTAACAGTATTTGTGACTTAAATGTCGAGTGATTCTGTATTCATTTTTTATTTCTTTTTAAATTTGTATGCTGCCCACTAATCCAAAAGGATTCTCTAGGCGGCTTACAATAAAATACTGAAAACATGACAATAAAACCAATTATATAACAATAAAATACCATAATTGCATCAAGTAAGCAGGACAACAGGTGTCAGAATAGTAAATTTCAAATCAGTTCTTAAAATATTCAGAGAAAGACCTGCCTTTCTTAATGCATCTCTGTGCTGACTTCTGTGATTTTGATAACATGCATATGCAGTCATTCTACTGAAAAAAGTTTGTTGATGCACTTCCTTTGCAGCTCACCGAGTCCCCTGGGCAAGAGTCTGCACCCCCTTCAGATGGCATCCTTTCTCTATCAAGGACCACTTCTCGTAAGAAGGAGCAATGATTTGTAAAGCATATCCTAATATATATCTATAAATGCTGTCTTTTTCTACTTTGAATTTGTGCTCTTGACCGAGGGAAAAAATAAGTGTTTGAAAACCCTTTGCTTGTAAATGGGCCCCCGTGGGGCTGTTCACTTTGGCTGTTCTGTTTTTGTTGAAATAATTTATGATGAAAATGGTCTCGTTCCAGTGTAGAGGTGGGCTGCCTATGGCTCGCCCCAGATGTTCCTGGACTCCAACTCTCATCATTCCTAATCATGCAGCTACTGAGAGTTGAAGGTGCACATTTTCCCATCTGTGCTACGTATGCTTAGCTCAAGCCACCAGCCTCTTCCCATTAAACTTGGAGACTGCAGGTCGTGTAACACTGTGGCAGATGCTCTTAGATCTTCATTTCCCTCACAGAGCAATACCTTTCCCCAGCTCCTAGGAAAATGCCTTGATAGTTACGGCTGCAAATCCTTTACGCACGAATCTGGAAGGGAGTCCTGTTGAACTGTACTTCCAGGCTTTTGATGAGAAATGATGAGACCTTTAACATCTATCAGGTCATGGTACTGTTGCTGTAACTGTTCTAGCTCTTTTAAACTGTTCTTAATTCTCTACATGGTAACCATTTTATATTATGTTTTATATTAGATAATTATACACACACACACATTGAAAAAACTTAAATTTTATATTGCATTTATATTATATTTTGGATTGTAGCTTTTGTGAACTGGACAGAGTTTGGACGATCGAGTGGTACAAAAATCCAATGAATAAAATGAAGTTGGATTTATTTCTATGTAGACATGTATAGGATTGAGTTACATGCTATCAAGACATCTCAGACATATGGCAGCCCCAAGAGTGACTGTCCTCCAAGATACCCTGCCCTTGACAGCCTTCCTCAGCTAATGTAAACTCGGGGCTGTGGCTCCCTTGGTGAAATTAACTCATCTCATAGTGGTCTTCCTTTTCTTTGACTTTCCTTAGTTTTATTGCCTTCTCCAGTGAGTCCTGCCTTGTCATGGTGTACCCCAAGTACGACACCCTCACTTTTGTCGTGTTTGTTTCTAGGGCACGTTCTGGTTTGTTTTGATTCAGAACCCATAGAAACAATTAAATCTTGGTCTTAATGTATCCTATGCAAACTTTTTCTCTTGGGAGATCTGGTTTAAACTGATGAGCGAAAAATGCTACCACAGATGATGCTGGCTGAAAATCTATAAATGAGCTCACTTATTGCATGAAGGTAATTTTTTATGAGCAAAGTTTTCATTCTCTCTCCTTATTATGCCTTGCGCTGTCAAGCACACTGGGTTGTTTGAGCCTGGCGGTCACCTGTGCTTGTATATAAAGAAATACATTAATTTTTTGTGTCATCTGGTGTCAGATCTTCCAAGTGGAGAGGGTGAACCAGCATCGGTGGCTGGCATATTTGATGCACCTGTACCAGAACGAAGAACAGATGATGAAGCAGGAAAGGTAACTCATGAACTGTGGGGAGTGTACTAGATCTATATCTATTGGTTTACCTATATATAATTTTGCCTCCATCCAAGGCAATGGGCAACATCAAAATAAAATGCAAGGATCCACAATCCTTATGGTATGAAAAGCAACTGATTATTTTATGATCATGGTGATTCCTGTCCTGTCATTAGTGTGAAAAAGTCCCTGTCCCAAGCACCTTGCAATTAGAATTTAAAGTGGAGGCAGCAGAGAGAGGGTAGAGCAACGGCCAAGGAGCATAGGAGGTGGGCTCAGCTCTTTGGCTTGATTTCAGGAGGGAGCAGCTAAAGCCCTTGGCCAAAAGCATCTTGGGAAAGGTGGTTTCTGAGCAGAGAGAGGCCACTTCCTGCAGGTGTTCCAAGGACATAGAGCAGCGAGGACGAAAGACTAGAGTCAGTTTGGGAGTAGGAAGCCCTAAGATGGCCGAGTGGTGGTGGGAAAGTGGCAGTGATGGATGGGGAGACACTGGGATGTGTGGGCACAGTGATGGGTGGGAAAAGAAGGTGGCCAGGGAGAGCTTCAGAGCCTGAGGCTGTTAGGTACTTTTCAGTTTTTGCAGCAGCAAAGCAAACTGGTTTTTCTTTTCATCAAATCCCGTGAATGTGACTTGATGCTAATATGAGGTGTTTGCCTTCTAAGTTTGCCATAGTGATTTCAAATAGAAGTAAACACTGACTTACTGGTATAGCTGAAGGTCAATTACCTGCCTGTTTGGTTTTCCATTGTTTTGTTGTTCCCTAAGGATGCAGCGGAGAGCTTGTCCTTACTGCATCTGATTGCAGCTTGAACATCCACAGGGATAGTTCGCAGACTCCACACCAGTTTTGTTCTAACCAAGTGTTGTTGGTGCTGGTGCTGTTATGTGTCGCTTTTTTTTGCTCCCACACATCATTCCCGTAATGAAAAAGTGTGCTGTCTGAAATGTACTGATTTTGCTTGTGAGTCATACAGGGATGCTGAGATTTTAAAGGACTGCCTTTCTGAAGAATGTTTAGCTTATAATGAGATTGATGCTGGCTGCTCAGAACTCAGCACACCTTTCTAGCCTGATTCACAGTGCAGGAAGCATCATCCTTTGAAGGACTGCTAGTGCCCTAAGCCAATGTCACGGCCCAGCAATCTGCATCTGGGGTGCCCAGACTCCACTGTGCAATCCTCAGTGCTCACTTTTAACAACAGGAGTTTTTTCGACTTTATCTTTTCTTCTTCAATGGGAGTTTTTTTCTCCTCCACTAAAAAGGAAACAGACGAGAATGTTCATTATACGCCAACTCCTTGTTTCGAGGACAGCCTGCCACGATTTGCATCTACACAAAGCACAAGACCTAAACAAAGGATTCTGCTCACTGAAGAAAGGTACGAGTTTTCTCAAAGTTTACAAACCCCATTCTCACTGATGTTTGGTCATGCTGGGTGGGATAATGGGAACTGTAGTCCAGCACTGCTGGAGGAACCTGGGAAGCATTGATCTAAGATCGTATGTGCTAATAACAGATGTTTCACTCTTCACTGCACTTCCTCAGAAGCCCATTCTTGAAAAAGGTGACAGTTCTTAAAATGTGAGGTCTGCCATGTGCAGGAGCAGCGCCTCAGATATGGATGCAGGGATGCCAGTGGATATTAAGACCCATGTGTGAGCTGCCATTGGGTTGCTAGGCATTAGTCCCGGAGACACTGTTTGCTGAAATGAATCCTCGTTTTACCCCTTCATGTCAGAAATCACTCCAAGAACTTATTTGGTTGAAGCACAGTGGAAGGAATAGCTTGAATGGATCGGTGCTAGAGAAGACACTGTGTGTTTGTAGCTTGATACCTTGTGGTGATTTTTCAGCCAGAATGAAAGCTCCCCCCTGACTAGTTCCCTTTCCGAAGAAGCATTTCCCCTCGCAAGGGCAAAGGAAAGGCTGTCTCGCCAGGAGCTGAGTGAAATGTCGGAGAAACTCTCGCGCAGGCTGAATGAACTAGATGCAGTAAGTGAATGCCACCTGCCTTGGCGGAATTGTCTCCCAGCGCAGCACTCCTCTACAGTTCACAGCTATAGGGAAACCTGGTGATGTGGGGTGGGATGGATCGATGGCTGAAGCTAAGCAAGTGCGGACCTGCCTTGCCTGGGAGACCATGCAGGCCCTAAGTACACTTCCATGAGTGCCTGGGAATCAGCTTTGGTTAAGGCAACTGCCCTATTTTGTATCCACACCTCAGTCATAACAGTGCAGCAGCGGGCTTGGCTGAATTTCTGGGCCAGCCACCCTGCTTATGGGAAATTCTCTGCTTAACCATCTGGAATGCCTATTTGGTATTAGGTAACACTTGTTGGTGTTGCTCTGGAGTAAACCCTTGACCAAGAGGACAATTTTCTTTTAACAACAGATGCTGAAGTATGCTTTAGGTGAGCGAAACAAGGAGGAGTCACTGGCTGATGATGACCAGCTTTCTCAGCACAGCGATAGCATCATGGATTACCGCCGCAGGAAACCAGAACCAGGTAGCAGTTCTGAGTGTGAAGTTTATTAAGTCCTAGTGAACTGCAACTTTCCATCCATGCGTTTGGGGCTTCTTCTGTAAACAGAAGGCACCTTCTCTGCCTGAGTTGGCAGCACAAAGTCAGTGTTTCATCCAGAGCAGAAGAATATTCTTCTAAACAGCTACGAACCTAATTGCTAAAGTAAAATGAATGCAGGCTTGAAAAACAGAATTATTTATTTATTTAGAAAATGTCTATGCCGCCCCATTCGCCGAAGCCTCGGGGCGGCTCACAAATATATCAATTAAAATATTATACAGTAAAAATATAAAACAGGTTAACAATATAAAATAAGTCGCCCTGGCTGACTTATGGCAGAATATGTTACTGCAGAGACTTTGTACGACAGAACAGTGATGGAAATGGGCAACCTTACACTTGCATCAGTTTCACTTCTCTCGTGTTTAAGCATCTATCTGTTCATTTGATGTTACTAGAAGTTCTCAGATCTTTTCTGTTTCATAGCTACTCTGCACCACAGGAGAAAACCTGGCAGGCAACGGTCCCTTTCTACTTCCCCACCTCCGGCCAGTTACCAGCAATCATCTGAATTGGGCAATGGGCTCCAGAAGGATGCAAGAGGGCCAGCAAGAAAAATGCGCGAACGCTTGCAGAAGGAACAAGAAGAGAGGAACTTGAGAGCAAAGGTAATAGCAGCAAGGTTGCATATGCAGCCAACAAGGTCAGCCTTCCCCCAATCTGAAGCCCCCAGAAGTTTTGGGATACAGATCCCATCATCCATGTACATTAAACATGTTGACTAGTCCAACTGGAGGATACCAGTTTGAAGAAGACTGCACCTGCTGAATCCTGATCACTTCAGTGAGCAAACCCACCCATAGGTATACTCAACATTGAAAAAGCTAGCTTTCAGTATTTACAAGAACAATAATTCTCTGTTGCTGTGACAGTGGGGTTTTCTCTTAATCAAAGGAGAAAATTTGATTAAGAGAATTTTCTAATTGTTGTGTAGTTTTGACCAGCTTATTGCAGTCTTGTGTTTGAAATCATTGTTTGTTCAGCTATGTAATTTCTTGGAAAAGCCCTTATGCCCAGCTCAACCACCCAGTAACCTCCTGCCTGGTATAGACAGGGGCTTGGGTCTCTATTCTTCCCCCCTGTTATGTAACTAGTTACTTTGTCTGGACCAACTACTACTTTTACTCCTCCTTAAAAACAGGGGGCTGTATGTAAAGAGCTTTGGCTTGCAGTGGCATGTTAGCCATGGTGGGTTTCAGGAAGTATACAGGGCCAGGTTGGAGCCCAGGTGCCCACCACTGTGGCTTCTTCCTCTGTGTGAAACCATCAAAGGTGGGCTTGCCAGCCACCCAGAACCCACAGGCTGTTTTAGGGTTATGGATAGCTTGTTAACCACCTCAAAAACTCGCCTTCTGTTTGTTCACATGGAACAACAAACTATGGGGTGCCCTGAATATTCAGAATGGTGACCACCACCACCATGCTCAGAAGCCCCATGGGGAATTCGTGCGCAGCAACTGCTTCTTGCGTGTGAGCTGATCCTGAGCGTGCAATAAATAAAAAGTGACTTCTGCTAGTAAACATTTAATTTTGTATTTTTGCTTCAGCATCTTGATTTGGAGGTATTTTAGCCGGAATTACCATCTTACTTGGGAAGAAATGTTGAAAGGTGGCATATGAATCTATTAACATGTCATAGCCCTTAACCTGACTTTTTAACCTGCACTCTAGCTCTTGATGAAAGCATATGAGGATGAATTAAGAGCGTATGAAACCAGTGAACAACTTGAACTTGCAAAGCTAAAAGCAAAGGCCAAAGAAATGGTAAGAAGAACAAACACACTGAGAATACTATTTCTTGTATCCTCTTGGCTTTCCTAAGGTTCATGGTGAAGAATTCCTGTCTTTCAGACAGACCCCTTCCAAGTGACTGTGTTTCCAGCCATGCCCACAGGCCATTAAGAAAAGTTTGCTCATGCAACATCAGGGATGGTCATGTGATCCTAACGTTTGCGTGGGTGGAAGCAGGGCACACACAGTGCGCTTATGCGGAGTCTACTGCTGACTGGAAGCTGTCCCAGTCCAGCTCTGCAGGCTTTCATGCCCTTGAGTTTCTAGAACAGGTACTGGAAATTCCTTAACAGGAGGAGGATGAAATTTGTGATGTCATTCGCTCAACACTGAGTGCATTCCCTTTCCCTGCAGGCTTTCAGATGACTAAAATGGATAATTTTAGACTGTCTGTTAAAGATCACATGAAATGGATGCAGTTCGTGCCGGGCTCCTGTGGGCAGATAAGCTACAGCATTCTGAAAACAGGACTTTTATCAGGCCTTATTTCCCCATGTAAAATGGCTCTCTGGCAATCACACTGGAAGGCTCCCATCTTCAGAAAGATGTTGGCCATTTTGGCAGGGATGCAGGAAGAATGGAGAGCTAATCCCCCGCGCTGCATGAAAAGCCTTGAGGTCTTGATGGTCACAGATTAGGGTAAATCGGCACTCCCTCCCCTGCATGATCAGGAAAGTCATGTGATTCTCTTGTCCAACCACTGATATTTGTAGCTGTGGGGTAGAAAATGGAGTATTCTGCATGCCTGAACTCACAGAAATGCCCATGTGCTACCCATCTTCCCTGCTGGGAGACTCGACCTAGTCTGTGTAAATCTCCTCGCAAATAGGTGGGCTCTATTTTGGGGCATGGCTGCACTTGAGTAACTATTTCCCATGTGTGTCTGCATCTAGGAACAAAAACACAAGCACTTATTCAAGGAGCCTCCAAGAACCTCACAAGTGGCGCATATTTATTCTCGAAAAAATGTGCCTAGGAATTCCAAACTCAGCCAGTGGATTTCAAGGGGAGGCTTTGCAAAGCCAAAAAAAGCACCTCCATGTAAGAACTGTAGAACGCTCTTTGGTACAAAACTGGGCATCGTTTGAAAGCGTGGGCTGAAGGCCAAGACTGTTGGCGACCTGACAATATATATCATTGAAAGCAGTTCTCTTATGACCTCCATATGTCTAGACTTGTGTAAGGGAAGAAAATTCATTTCCTAGTTCTTAGCCATAGGCCCCAACTCTAGCTCTGACTCATCTCAGCACCACCTTTCACACTACCAGAGAGGCCAAGCTCTGACCAGTGCTTTGTGCTCTGCAAATTCTTCCAAGGCAAGTTCAGCCCAGTCAGTGGGGTGGGGGTTGCTTTAAAGCATGCCAGCAATGCTTCCCCAGCTCAGTGTTCCTGCAGATAACCCAGAGCATGTGTGTTAATATCTCTATCCTTGTTTTGCCTTTCCTTCACACCCATAACGGACTTGGAAGCAGCTCTCTTGTGGCATCGCTGCAAGAATGCTCTCCAGAAACAGGTGACGGAGGTGGGGTGTGCTGCCCTCTGCATGTCCTCAGTTTGTGCTGAAAACCCCTGGTTGACTGGCTCCAGTTTTGTTGGCCAGTTCAGCATGGGAGGTCAGGCTGCAAAAGATGCCCAGCTCCCTTTTGGGGGATGGCAAAACAGCTGCCCCTGGGATGCTTTGATTTTTCTGAGTGTGGGGAAAGGCCAGTGGCTTTGTTGCCCTCCTGTAGTGTCCAGGCCCATGAGGAAGACTAGGCAGCTAGGAAAAATTGCAAGCCTGAGTTCTTGAGGATGCCGTGCTTTGTTTCGGTACGAAGATGCCCAAAATGCGTAGCTTCAGGCCACAGCTGTAGATGTGCTCACTTGCCAGTGAGTGGCACCTCTGCCCAGGTAAATCTACACTGACCTGCACTTTGGGACAGGGGGTCCCCCTGTCTTTGCAGTGCCATTTCCTCTGGCTTGGGAAGAGGTGTGGATAAAGAAAATAACAGCAGACCTTGCCGCGGGAGGGGAGTTGTTCCTCTCGTATCGATAAAATATTTCATAGGGCTTCTACACTGAGATTCCACAACAACACAGAAAAAGAACAACGTTTCATTGAGCACAATGAGAATCTCAGCTTTCAGCTGAAATTGAAAAAGGAAGGGAAAAGCCCATCTGTATCCATAAGTACTAAAAAGAACTTGTGCTAATGATTTTGGCCACATAGGCCAGAAAAAAATCCTGGTTTTCTTGCTGCAGATTTCAATTGTCTGGCTTCAGACCTTTATTCCTATTCCCATTATTAATTCAGAGTAGACGCAGACCTGGCCGTGTCTACCTCTTGAGTTCCTTGAGTGGAAAAAAGGCCAAATATAAATAGAATAGATAAATAAAATTAAAAACTACTTGTAAATATGCCGAACCCTCTAGATGTTCTTGGGCTGTAGTGCTCATTGAGCTTAGCCAGCATGAGCAATGCTTGAGTGATGAACGCTGTTGTCCAGCGATATCTGGAGGGCCGCACGTTCTCTGAACCCCTAAACTGGGGGAGGTATTTGACATGACAGGAGCCTGTTCCTGCCCCCTGCATTCCTCCAGAGGGTGAAGCGGCAAAGGAGGAGCTCAGCTGCATGCTGCACCCAGGGGGCTGTGAGGAGCACATCTGGGCAGCTGCCTTTCAGAAAGGGAACTGGGCTCGTGAGGAAGGGCTGATCTGGAGCAGAGGTGTGGCACCGTGTGCCTCTCCGTTTCCTTTTCCGGTTGCTGCTCCCCAGACCAAAGTTCTCAGCTGCTCTGGATGCCTTTGCACGGAGCACAAGGCCTGAGGAACTGGACTGAAGCCCTTCCTGCCCTTCATGGGCAGGTCTCTCCGAACAGATGAGAAGTTGCCCCCCTAGACAATCTGCTGCCCACTTGAAGGTGAGCACACGTCCTGCACATGCTGGTGACTCACTGTTGCCTTTCTCTCATAGTGAAGGTCATGGAGAACGACCTCTTACCCCTGCTGCTTGAAGAATTCCCTCACCTGCACGTTTCCCGCCCAGCTATGAACAAGATGTGGCGGCAACAGCTTGCCCAGATCGAACATCTGAAGTCTCCCAGTGACCGAGCCCGGATGAAACTGCAAAGCGAAGTGAGCAATCTTCCATAAGTTCTGAGTTGGGTTAAATTCCTATGGGACGCTCCTACAGCCAGAAGTTAGGACCAACAGTCTTGTCTGGGTTTTTTTTAAAGCGCGCGCGCGCTCTCTGTCTCTGTCTCTGTCTCTGTCTCTGTCTCTGGAAAGGCAGTAGGCAAGGATGTCCTCCTTCTCCTGATACTGATGCTTTATTTATAATTGGAACCCCTGGCATGTGCTATTCGGCAAAATTCTAATATGTAATAGAGTTGTGCATAATGCATTGGAATCTTAATTTATTCTGTGTGCTGATCATCTTCTGACATTTACATCAGAACTCACTCTGTTCCAGCTTCGATGCAGATGATTGATGTTTCTGGCCATTTAGTGATGAATGACTTTTAGACAACCCTCATGTAACCCATGGCTTATCTGAGGGTTGCATGAGGGTTGTCTGACACTCAGACAATGCCTGCCACTTGGGCTTGCATGGCATGGCAAGCCAGGCACCAAGCACGACGTGGCAGCCCCACGGGTGAATGAAGCCAGGGTGGGCTATTGTTACCTGTGAACATGCCGCGTGTGTGGCATTTTCAGCAGGCTGGAGGGGCTGCTGTGAGAAAGAAGGAGTGGGGTGTCCACTTCTGCCAGTACAGTTGACCCAGCTTAAACATGGATCCAGCCCTCTTTGGGGTTGAGAGGGAAGGAAAGTTGAGTGGAACGTGGACTGCTAGCTCGGCCTCTGTGGCAGGGCTAAAGCAACGCTTCTGTTCTTGTAAGAAGGGACAGGGGGCTGCTGAAGAAAAAACAGGGGCGCTAGAGTTGAGGGCCAGCTTTCCATGTGAGCTGCTTCCTACCCCAACTTAGTGTGTACAAGGAAAGAAAACAAGACAGTCAACCCAGTTTTGCTGGGGGAAAGACTTGCTTGAAAGGTCTTGCTGAAACCTGATGTGTAGAAAAATGGATTGGTGAAGTGTATGTACTTTTTCCTGTTAGGTACTAGAAACGGTGAAGAAGCATGACCTCCTTGTCGACCTTATTAAGAAAGATCAAGCTCAGAACAGGAGGCTGGTATGTCAGAGGGAACAAACTCCTGATTCATTCATTTATTGATTGATTGTTAAACAACTGAACACTGCCTTTCAGGATAAGCACAAACATGTAGTAGTATCATGTTACAAATGTTGAGCTGCCCTGTCCTGCCAATACCCCAAGTCTGGGATGGGGAAGGGGCTTTCTAACATTCAAGGACTGGTCACTGAAACCCTTTCAGATACCTGTGATGCCTGCTTCCTTCTTCTCAAGGAAATGTTGTTGTGTTTCCTATTTTTTCCTTGTTGTATTTAGCAAGAGTTTAAGCAACGCATTCATCGACAGAGATGTACTCAGAATAAAATAAGGGAAAGACGCCAGCAAATTGCAAGAGCAAAAAAGTACTACCAGGATTACAGAGTTCAGCTGCGGGCCAAGATGATGAGGGCCCGGACACGTGAGGAACGTGTAAGTAAGAGGACCTTGCTCTACATAAAAACCTAAGAAAAGCCAAGCTGAATCAGACTAAAGGTCCATCCCGTCCAGCACTCCATACACGGCGGCAGACCAGCTGCCCACAGGATCCCTCATGCAGGATGGGTGCCGGACCTCCGCCTGCCCAGCCCCTCGACAGCTGGTGTACGCAGGCAGGCCACCTCTGCTGAAGGAGGCAGCACACAGCCGGCCAGGCCAGTGGCCACTAACAGCCTCCTCCTCCTCCATGAATCTGTCCAATCCCCTTTTTAACGCCACCCAAATGGGTGGCCATTACTACTTTCCAGGGCAGCGAATTCCATAGTTTGGCTATACATTGTGTGAAGCAGTGCTTCCTTTTCTCTGTCCAACGTCCCACCAGTCTGCTTCATGGGATGACCTTGCATTCGAGTGTCATGAGAAAGGGAACAAAATGTCTTCCTCTCAACTTGCCTCACACTGTGCATTATTTTAAACACTTGTATTTCACCTCCTCTTACTTGCCTTTTTTCTAAGCTGTATAGTCCCAGGGCTTGTAGCTGCTCCTCATAGGAGAGTTGCTCCAGTCCTCTGATCATTTCTGTTGCCCTCCTCCGTACATTTTTCAGCTCAATAATGTGATTTATCTGATAAGGCAACCAAGTTATACCAGAGATTTGTATAAGGGGAGTAAGATTTTGCAAGTTCTGTTTTCTGTACCTTTCCCATTTTTGCCTGGCATGAAGTTTGCCTTGCTCACAGGAGCTGAGCACTGGACTGCCATTTCACTGAGCTGCCCACCACACATTACTCGACCCTTGCTGGTATTGGGCAGCATTTCAACGAGCCGTTTGGAGGCTCACTCTCCCCGCTTGGAGAGATCTCTTGGAGCTCCTCACAACCCCTTTTGGGTTGCACCACCCTAAAAAGTTTCGTGTCACCAGCAAACTTGGGCATTTCACTACTTACTCCTAATTCCAGGTCATTTATGAATGGGTTGAAAAGCATTGGTCCTAATACAGAACGCTGCGGGACTCCACTGATGGCATCTTAAATTACAGGATAATGTGGGAATGCCTGTGTCATGTGGGAAAGCTGCTTTTCTGCAGTATCAAAACAGCAGCCTTACCCAAGTGATAGAAACCTTCCTAAGTTAGTAGCATGGCATGAAATTTGGCCACAAGAGAGCACTTTTATGATGGCAGTATCTCTGCTATGCCAGTAAGATATGCCTCATCCCTCTGTCAGAATGATGGCCAATTTTAAGCAGTCGAATTAGACTTAGGGACCCACTTTGTTTTTGGATTTAAATGCATTAAGTTCCTACACTGGAACAACAGTCATGCTGATTCAAAGCAAGGATCCTCTGTGGTAAACCAGCTACCCACAGGATTTCTTTCCTGGGATGGGTGCAAGACCTCTACCTGCCCGAGCTCCTTAGCAACTGGTGTATGCAGGTAGGCCACCTCTGATAATGAAGGGAGCCCATAGCCAACACAACTAGTAACCGTTGATAGATAGCCTTCTCTTCCAGAATGTGTCCAGTCCCTCTTTAAAGCTGTCCATATTGGTGCCATCTCTACTTTCCATGGCATTGATTTCCCTAGTTTAACAATGCATTGTGTGAAGAAGAATTTCCTTTTATCTGCCCAAATCTCTCAATAATCAGCTTCATGGGGGTGACTCCAGGTTCTAATATTATAGGAGAAACTCCAGGTTCTAGTATTATTATAAGAAAAATGCCTTCTTCACTTTCTACATTCGGGAACTCAGAAAAGTGCCGTTAATGATATTATGATGATATGCAAATAGGTTTAAACATAATAGGCTTCTTAATGTTATTGGTTCTTATTGCATTTTAATTGTGTTTTTATCTTGTAATTGTGAGTTGCCCAGAGGTGCTGTGGCACAGCTGGGCGGCATACAAATGTTTTAAACAAACAGACAAATAATTACAAATGATTAATGAGGTAAACATTCTTCATTTAATTTACAGTTCGTGTTAACATTGATCTGCATTGTCCATTTTGTCAAGTCACATAACAAGGTCTTTAACTGAAGGAAGTGAAATTCCAATGAAATGGGACTGAAGTGCAGTTAGCCATATCCTGATCAAAACAGTATTGTCATTTTTAAAATAAACTATCTTTAGGCTTGTGGATGTCATATTTTCTCTGGCAGATATTTAAAAACCTTTTTGAAGAAGGGTTGGAAATTCAGAAGCAAAGATTGCATGAGTTGAGACTATATGCCAGAGACAAGCAGGCTGAACAAAAGAGACAACATCAGCAGGAATTAGAGTCCATGGAAAACTACTATAAGGATCAGGTAGGCTTAATTCTTCCTATGATGTCTGAGGAAAGCCTGGCCTACCTGCATGCCATTAACTTTTCTTTGTCTTATACTTAAGTTTTCAATGCTGGCTGAAGCCGTTTCAGAACAACGCCAAGAAATCCAAACCAGAGAAAGAGCACATGCAAAAGTAAGTCTTTTATCACCTTAGTCTTTCGGAATAGTGGCTGAAGTTTTCAGTTGCTCAGCTGCACCTTAATCTCTTTCAGACATTAAACAAAGTGAAACGTGAGCTGAGATCAAAGATGGAGAAAGAGATTAAAGAGTTGCAAGACATGATCACGCACGATGATGATGATTCATTCTTCCGAGAATTGGAAGCTGATCGCCTAAAATCCAGACTTTTGGTGGCTTCTTTTCAATATAGCAAAAACTCCCAGTTCCTTTAAGTCTTGGCATGCCTTTATAAATACTTGTGCAATTTATTTCTGGCAAAAACATTTGAAAAAAAATATGGAGGTGGGGTGGACAGAACCTGAAGTGTGACATTACTAGCTTGTTTTGCCACTCGAGTTTTGCTGCCCAGTATCTAAATGTTACAATGTCAAGCAAATATTGAACTTTTTCTGAAGGAAATTTTTAATGTTTTTGTCAAATAAAGATTAGTTCCTAACAAAGCTAAGCTGTCAAAAGCATCTCCCCAGTTAATTTATTAACAAATCATTTTGGTCAAGTATAGCTAACTGTGAGTATATTAAAATAGACCCTGGGCTGATTTAGGTAACAGAATCTTGGAGCAACTGTACCCTGCTTATATCATTCTCGCCAAACTTTAATTAGTGGGTAGTAAACATTTTTCTCTGTTGATGCCAAGGGAAGGAGTGGTAGGGCAGGGAGAAGCTGCCCTTGATCCCCTGGGGAACATTTTGGAAAGGCAAAGGATTGCAACTCCTCAACTAGCCGCTTCAACACTCATATTGCTCTGACAGTGAGGCAGTTTTTCCTAATGTCCAGCCTGAATCTGGGTTGTCACAACTTGAATTGGTTATTCCGTGTCCTACACTCTGGTATCAGCAAGAAGAGATCTTGACCTTCCTCTTTGTGACCACCTTTGAGGTACTAGCGGGATATCATGTCCCCCTTCAGTCTTCTCTTCTCAAGGCTGAACATGCTCAGTTCTCTCAGTTTCTCCTCATAGGGCAGTGTTTCCAAACCCTGGATCATTTTTACTACCCTCCCCTGGACCCTTTCTAATTTACAGTACTTGCATCTTTCTTAAATCTTGGTGCCCAGAACGGGACACAGTATTCCAGGTTAGGTCTGACTAGTGAGGAGTATAGAGGAACTACTTTTTGTGATTTGGAAGTAATAGTTCTGTTAATGCATCCCAAAATACCATTGCCCTTTTGGCAGCTGCATCACATTGTTGGCTCATGTTTAACCTATTGCCCACAATTACTCTAAGATCTTTTTCTTTTTCAGTTCTGTTGAGCCACATATTCCTCATCTTGTACCAATGCATTTGATTTCTTTTTCCTAGGTGGAGGACTTGGCACTTGTCCTTACTGAATCTCATTCTGTTGCTTTCAGCCCAGTGTTCAAGTTTATCAAGTTTGCCTTGAATCTGCACTCTATCTTCTAGGGTGTTTGCTATTCCACCCAGTTTTGTATCATCTGCAAAATCGATTATCTTTCCTTGTACTTCCTCATCTAAATCATAAAAAAAAATTTTTGAAGAGTACTGGGCCCAGGACTGAACACTACTAGTTACCTCCATCCAATTTGAGAAGGTGCCATTGATGAGCACTCTGTGTCCAGTTTACCAGCCAATTTTGGATCCACCTAATAGTTTTTCCATCTAGTCAAGTTTTGCTAATTTGCTTATCAGAATGTCATGTGGCATTATGTCAAAAGCTTTGCTGAAGTCTCTAGGTACATTATGTTCACAGTGTTCCCTTTGTCCATTTGGGAGGTTCCCCAGTGAAAAATGAGATTAGTCTGACAGGATTTATTTTTTATAAATCCATGCTGGCTTCTAGTAATCACTGCATTTTCTTCAAGATGCTTGCAGATGCATTTTTAAATAATTTGCTCCAGAATTTTTCCAGAAATTGATGTCATACTAACTGGTCTATAGTTCCCAGGCTCATGTTTTTCCCCTTTTTTGAACATAGGGTCAACATCAGCCCTTTTCCAATCATCTGGCACTTCTTCTGTTCCAAGATTTATTGAAGATAATAGCCAGTAGTTCTCAGAGTTCCTCCACTAGTTCTTTTATGACTCTGGGATGGAGTTCATCAGGCCCTGGAGTTTTAAAATTCCAGCTAGGTATTCCTGGACCATTCCTTGGCCATTAACTTGTAACAAGTTAAGCAGTTGTGCATTTTAGGATGACTTAGGACATAATAGTGGCCTTGTGAGCTTGAAGGGCAGGAATAAGGAACGCTCCCAGGTGTTGTTGGACTTCCATTTTCACCTTCCCAATCCTGAATACTGTGTGCTTAGGATGAGGGGAGATGTACACAAGTATCCCACCCTTATTGTTCTAGAGAAAATGTATAGAATAACTATTAAGAATACCACCAGATACCTTCTAGATGTTTTTGACAACAGCACTGGAAATACTCTTTGAAGTTCCTTGGCATCACCTTTCCAACCATAGAAGGCAGCTTCTGTGTGCACTCCTTCCCATGCTGGCGGCAAGGGTGTGGAGGAGGGAGGGAGTGTCCTTCTAGGGATTTATTATGTTTTTTTTTTTAAACATTTTTAGGCCACCCCATTCGCCGAAGCCTCGGGGCGGCTTACAACAATAAAGCAGCATAAATGTTTTAACATAAATGTTTTAACATAAATGTTAAGCAGCATAAACAATTTTGATGGGGAATACTCTGAAGGTCAGGGGTAGGAGCAAGCATGTGGTGGACTGAAAAGTTCCTTCACTGAGGCACTGAAAAGTTCCTTCACTCAGTTCTAAGCAGGGCACATCAGAAAAATCATGAATTTAAGTGTTGGGATTCATCTGCTGATATCAGTTAGAAGACATTTACATATTTGCAAGAAAATATTGAAAGAAATTTGTGCAGGCACATTCCATTTCTAGCATTTCTAGGGCACATTCTTTCTGCAGATTGCCTTGCTAACCTCTCTCAGCTTTTATATCACAGGCATGTCTGAGAAAGATGAAACCATCTTCCCCAAGGCCAAATCATGAACTCCGGGGCAAGTACTGATTTGAATCAGCCTTCTGTGTGTTAAAACTAAAAGCTGTCTGCTATACCACACAAGCTTGTATAGAGGTTGTAGTAGACCTCTTCAAAGATGAAGAACTGAGCATTCCCTGAAAAGCCTTGCTATAAATTTAGAAACTTCATGTTGATGAGCAGTTCGCTTCTTTACAATGGAGGAATGGTTTGCCCTCACATTTTCAGTAATCATGGAGGCAAGAAGCAGATTCAGAGAGCATGTGCCCCTCCAGGTGTTGTTGGGCTGCAACACCTATCATCCTTTACTATTGGCTTTGTGGGCTAAGGATGATGGGAGTTGAGGGTCAACAACATCTAGAGGGCTACATGTTACCCCTGTAAAAGAGGCTACTTCTTCGCCTTTAACCATTTAAAGATACAGGCAAGGATCTGGCATCCAGGCTCAAAGTCAACAGCAGCCAACATAATGGTGACTAGCCTTGCTTCTATCCAGGGCCTCTACACATGTTCTTTTTGCTTTAATTAATGTGAACACCGTTTATTTAAAATTGTAGTAAACACAAAACAAATGTTGTTAAAACCATTGATGCTGTGACAGTGCAAACAGCATACAAATTTATTGCTCAACTTCTGCATGGGTATATACTTAAAAAACATTTTATACAGATCTATTGTTAAAGCTCATGTAACAGCTTGGTGAAAATACAATGAATATCAATGCTAAAACACTCTGCAATAAATACAATAGAAATGCAACTAAAAAAAACCTGTCAGTCTGTGGAAGTGGGAAAATCATACCAAATATAGACTAGTTTTAGCTACAGACAAAGCTCTTAGAATTTGGTAGAGACAGAAGTCTACTAACAAAGAGTATGCTAAGTACAAATTGCACCTATTAACTATATGGTGTAGTTTAAAGTCTGAAGCAACAGGATCATGCTACATTATGATGTATGATCAGAAGCAAAGCTCATACTTTCATTAATGCAGCCAGTTTAAATGCACCAGAGGTTTAACAGAGGTTTAGTGTTGTAGAACAAGAATAAAAACAAAACAATCCTGTGTGCTCTGGACTCTAGTACATCACAACATTTTGGTAAAAATAAAAATCACTTTAGGGAAACTGAACCTATGTGCAAAAAATAGATTACATACTGTACAAAGCACCATTACAAAAATTTTACATCTAGAAATTAAATCTGAAACGCAACTGAGTAATGTATATTTGAACTCTACCAAAGAGTCACAATCCATATTAACACATTCATTAATGAAAAGAAAAGCATGGAAATGTGAGATGGCATCTCTCTCAACCATTTAAAGCAAATTCAGGATGGATGAAGAAGCCATGTAGAAAGGGGGACATGTTGGAAATAAATATTCACATTTAAATCTGGGGTGAAAATTCAAAGGTCCAACGCAATCCTGGGTTTAGTGCTGGGAAAAATGGCTATAAAACTACAGCTGATGGGTCCAGAGAAGCTCCTGGCAGGTTGTGTGTATTAAAGCTTTTAATGGATATGCTGATAAAAAGGCACTCAATTTGCATCAGTCTGCTCAGGGTAGTCACAGCAGTATGTAGAAATGCTTTTATTTTGTCTAATTGTGTGAATTTCATTTCACAAAGTTAGCCCTGTAGTGACAGAAGGATCTCTGAAAACCAAGTATTTAAAGCAGGATGACAATGGAGTTAACTCCTAAACTTAAGTTTTGGTAGTAGACTGGATTTAATTTTCCAAACTCTCTTCACTGAGGTCTGTCAAGCATACTCTCTTTTAAAAGTACTCATTTACCATTCTGGAGCAATTAGGCTGCATTTCATAATACATGGATAAACACAAGTTGTTACAAAATGAGCAGAAACCAACAATGGAGACCGTAACATTCAGCAAAATCTGATGCAAAATGGACGCATCCTAGAGCAAGGTAAGGGCAAGGCTATTATCTTGAATCACATGATAATTCTGCAGAGAAAAATGTATTTGACCTTCCATACAGAACATGCAACAAGGCAGTCCTTGCTTTGCCCAAAAGCTCTACAACAATGTGTTTAAAGGGAGAATGGCCGCTTTTGAAAGTTCTCAAGAATAATTTACAAAAGGCTGGGATCTATTGGAAAGCTCTGCAGGGGACTTACACTTGAAAGCCCAGCAGTGGATATGAAAACCAGTACTCCAAGCAACACAAAGGCTGAAGGAAACTGAGTAAATGCTGTTCCTGAAACCTGAAAGAGGAGTGGAAGTTATCCTAGAGTTGTTCTGGGAAAAAGTGACAACATCAGATAGCATAGCAACAAAGCAGATTCCCTAGTTAGGGCTAAGTCTGAATTTCAAATCATCCCCATGTTTATACGATCAAATGTGTGCAGAAGTAAGCTTTGAATAACAGCTCTGTTGCAGTCCATGAGCAAGGAAAGTGAAGTACCAGAAAGAGCACCAAGCTATTCCCACCATTCAACAACATAGTCATAAATAGACCATCTATCCCCACCATATGGTCTACTTACAGCTGCCTTAATTTGTGCAATGTTTCATAATCCAATATGCCTGCATATTACATAAGAGCAAGGATATCAGAGATCTTCTTGTATCATTAGTTCTACAGATGGAAAATGCAACACATTCTCACTTCTCCAAGTCCTGCCTCTCAAGATGCAATGCGCCCTGGCCTTCAGCACTTGGGTCAAGTCAGACCAGGCAATATACTATCTAGTGAACGTCTTCTGCCCTACTTACTTTCTCCTTTCTCTATTTTAGATATCTGTTTGTTGAAAACAGTTCTCATGCCAGAGAAAATAAGCAAGACCGAGGAGCCTGCACTGGCAGCTTCCAGGCTCTCTCAATACACTTGGCATGTTTGATTATCGTTAGCACAGAAGCAGTGATAGTTTTAGATGGCTACTTATGATTAGTTCTTCTAGTATGACTTCCACTGCTTGCCGTCACTTGTTTCTGGATGGGAGAGTGAACCCGTACTGACAATTTGGATCATAGTTCTCAAGGATTCGTTCAAACATGTAAGCTCTACTTGTTTCCACTGCACAGCTGGGTATCTAGGTTTGCAAATTTATGGGGAAATCAAAGTGTATACCATAATGGGCTGGACATTTTGCAGTAACCATACCCACATAACTACAAGGAAAGCTTACATGGGGAACTCACAAGCTATTATACAATGCCAAATATATATATAGTTATTGATAGAGGATTCCTCACATGACTGCTATCAACAGTGCACTCCACCCCATCTGAATATGCTCTCTGTATTTAATAATTTTGCATATCTGTTCATTACCACAATAACCTCTGATGTGTCCCAGCCAGTTATTTATCAGAGCATGTTATGCAACTTTTGCATTTTAGATAAGTGATCATCTAGTCTTCTGAGTCCATTGCATGCCTATTTTTCCCTTAGCTGTAGCTAACACAAACCCATATGTCAGAAGCAGTTAAAAATAAATATTTTTTTAACCTGGATTATTTAGCAACAATATAAATGTGGGTTGGCTGAATCTCAACATAAAACCTTTGGTTGGTATGACATCCACAGAAGGTTTTGAAAGGTGAACTAATGACCTGGCAGAAGGCTGTTGATATCATCAACATACATTTAGGAGTTTAAAAAATGCAGCAGTTCCATTTAAAATGGAAAGCAAATTAAAAAAACACTCAAGTATTGACTTTTTACAAAAATGCTTATTTAAAAAATGCTAAATGTCTAGAATGTATTTTAAAAAGGGGTTTCCACATTTACCACAAAGTACTGTACCAAATGCAGTGCAAGTTAACTCAGACCAGGACTCTCTTAAAGAAATCTGGCAAGAGAAAAACAGGACCCAAAACCTGTAATTCATGCTTGAGGAATATAAAAACCCTTACACAAGGAACACTGAAGTTGAATTCATAACAGAATAAAATCATTCACTAAGAAAACACAGTTTATCTTTAAGTGGCCTTAATTTAAAAGATTTATGATTTCTTAAGCCAATTTTATGCAAAAATTAGAATAGTCAAAATATTTTATTTAAAAAAATAGCAGGTTGCTGTTCAGTATCACATGTTTAGGCAAGTAGGCTGGGACATGACTTGTACCGACAGCTGTGTCTTCAACCTGTGAGAATAGAAATCAGGTAGGTAAATAGATCAGATAACCTTTTACAAAAATAGTAGTCGTCTTTCTGCGAGAAGAATACTGCTTGACTGTTGAAACGAGGGGAAAGCCAGCATTCTGTATGTTCAAGATACTAGTTGTTAATAGCAGCTGAGTGATTCCTTGGCAGGAGCCACAGGACTTTTTCTTGCATGAAGAATTCCAAAGATGCTCCTTTCCCTCATATTGTCCTAAGGTAGAAAAAGGGGCAGGGGGAGAAAGTTTCCTATATTTCAAGCATTTACTGTGTCATGGCTGAGGGGAGTTTTCTGCTTGACAGGAGTATAAATACAGTCCCAGGCAAGTCTGCAAATGTTCATTCCACAGCAAATCCACATGTTTCTTCAATGGCAGTCAGCAGCTTTTCATAGAGCTTCTCATAGCTTTCATAAGGAGGAATGTCTATTCGATTGAAACTGCAAGAAAACAACAAAAGCTTTAATAAGCCATGCGGCACAATAACTGGCAGTGGTGATGTGATATCTCCGTAGAAGTCTGCTACTGTCCTAGGAACCACCCCCTCCCGCCCCCCAATGCCTTCTCGGCAGGACTACATCAGAACAGAACAACTATCTGTGATCAATCCACACAGAAGAGACAGTCAAGCACAGAACAGAGGTGGGCGGAACACTGCATAGGAGTCCGATGGGCATTTCCAGAAGCGCGCCCATACTAGTCTACTGCAGAAAAAAACAGCAAAGAGCCTAAGGCTGATCTTTTTTCTTGGCATAAGCCCACTTCATCAGGCATATGACCTGTTCTTTAATGTTTCAGGTTTATATACCATTCAGGTGGTTGTGGTGGTGGTAATTGTGAACAGTTCAGGAAATAAATGTCATAAGTACAGACTGTAAAATTTACATAATTAATGGTAGTCATTCACAGAAGAGTGAAAGCTGATAGTTCATATGCTTCCTGACACATGGAGTGTAATTTTTTTAAAACATCCTTTACTCCAAGCCCAATTCAAGCTCCTGGCAATAGATTTGAACCCGGCATATAATTCTACATGATAGAACTAGAGTATGAGAGGCACTTTACACCTATTCTGCCACAGTTTAAAAACTCCAATTGCATGAGTCCAAAGGTTAAAACAAAGAATAAAAAACCACCCTTGGCTAGTCAGAGGTGTTACTTTGGCTCCCATCCTGGAATATGCCAACAAATGAGCCACAGCAGGACTTGCTTCTAACAAGCCGAACAGGAGCAACAATGTCTCATTTATGATCCACAGAGAGCCACAACAGTGCACAGGAGCAGATGGAGAGGATCAGTAAAATATCCTACCCACCTCCTTCACTAAGATTAGAGCACTGGTACACCTTAAAGGAGTTCCAGTAAAACAAGTAAGCCAAATCCATCACTGCGCAAAAGGCATGTACATGACCTGGGAATTCACTGTTGCGAATTCCATGGTCTCCACAGCTCTATTTCCTGCTCACAGACTATGTTATTCACAAAGGCTCTGTCTACTCTGAGTAAACTGGATCAAAACATGTCGGCAACGGCCTGAACGTTTCTGGACACCGCAGTGGAATATCTGGAATTCTTTATGCGTGCAAACAGAGGTTGATGACTCAGAGCCCTTCTCAGGGCCGCAGTCCTAAAACAATGTTAGACCGTTTGCAAAAAGCCAAAGCCTCCCACAGCCATAAAGAAAGCCCATACAAAAGGAACCAGGTCGCACGAAGACATCCAGTTTCAAGGAGATGCTGCTGAAAAATCACTTACTACAAAACTGTATTAATGATTAGGCCACTGCCCACAAAAAGAAAATTGGTGGCATTGAGAAAGTATAGAATGAAGGCCTCAAACTTTGATCAAATCAGTATGATTTGATTAATCAAATAAAGCTTTAACAAGGATAAATGTGATCTTTTATTACATCAACAAGCAAAAATCCTGGGAATTTGGACAATTTGGGGATATGCCACCTTGCAGGCCACACAGAAGCATTATGAGGGTGTTGCCTGGCACCTGTCAATGTCAAAGCGCTTGGAGGTCTTCATCACAGACCACCCGCTGAATGACAGAACAGAAAAACAGATCAGCTTGTATGGAACTTGCAACCTACATGGATGGTCTGCCAGCTTATGTTATCCTTTTACAGCAAAGGATTTTTTCCCTTTCTATGAATGCTTATAATATGATAATGCATGCAACTAGATTATTAATTAAATGTCTTTAAAGTGGGAGGATTAATACGTTAGATTTTTAATTCATTACAAATTTCACAATTCGCATGCAAAAAAGAACCAATATAGCACTGCCTGTGACTTACCATGTGTGGGCTTTTGGCAGGTTATTTGTGCTAGCATCAATCTGGTGAATTGTAAATAGTCTTGGGCCAGCAGCACCTAGAAATATGCCAAAGAATGCATTGGTTGGTACTGCACAGAATAACTCAAGAAGAAGAACAGATAATGCACTGACTAGCTACCGCGTCAGAAGAGGAAGCAGTAAAGTGACACAGAGGAGGGGAGCATGCACACAACTTGGAAAGGTAATGGCCAATGCAAAGTTGGTTTTAATTACTATTCTGGACATCTCCCATTTGACGATTCTTGATGTGAGCCTTCCTAGAACCTATCAAGAAAAACAACTATCACAAACTGCTCATTTCTTCCCCAAGTACACAGGAAGGCTCATATTCCTAACCTTAAATGGAACAATGGCTCCAGTCCAGTCATTCAGTCATTCTTGCCTTTCTTAAACTGAGTCTTCATGACACAAGCTTTTAACACTGAAGATCTTTTGAAAAATGCACATGCTGCGTTGCATACTGTGGCCAGTATGTGTACGTCAATGTGCCCATGTAAGTCCATGAACATAAAATAAATAAACCTGCATTTTGTATGTAAACAAGCTATCTGAAATTGGCCTTGAGTGCAGCAAAATCCTCTGTGGCCCGGTGTCACACAGTCAGAGGCAACTATTACTGAGATGTTTGTGATAAAGAGCAGCAGCTAGATTAATGGAGACATAAGAAAATACAGTGGATAATGCAAACCAGAGAAATGGGTTGTGTAGTTCTTTCAAGGAAAGCAAAACCTCATATTGAGACCCTTGACAAAATGCATAAAGCTGTAAGGTACAGTGATATTTGTTTTGTACGGTATGCTAATTATATTCGAAATGTTACAAGATGGGTTATTTCAGAAGGTTCAGTAACTGTGGCAGAATGATGAAACTTGGGGCAGCAGAACAAGAGATTCCAGCTGTGCTTTTATTACCTTGTAATGCTTTGAAACCCTGCAGAGGCACCCTGGAGGACCCAGTCACAAACTGCAGCAACCGGGCTCTCCTCTCTTCATCAAAGAGCTCTACGGCTTTCCAGAACCACTTCACAACATTGCTGTCTGGTGTGCAGTGCTTCAGCCTTGTGTTGGCTTTCCAGTCATTCACATCTATCTTTCCGAGACCACAAATGATGAGCTGTTGATAATTGCACACACAAACACCAGGTTATATCTAATGTAAACAAAGCCATGAATGTCAATAAACAACATAAAAGAACAGGTGATCATGTGGGGTTTTACTTCTATGGTACCAAATGAAAGCCAGTAAAGAAAGAATTGAAAGCAGTTTTATGGCAAGCAAATAAGGCCAATATAGCTAAAGGTACGTGCTCAAAAATATAGAACGGTTCTTTCTATATACAAGGAAATGAGCTGAAACAATGGAAAATGATATGCATATTGCCCTGGTCTGGAAAAAATGACAACCCATCATGGTTAACTAGCCACACTGGCCTGACATGTCATCCAACACCAGATGACCGATCCCACTGTGGGTAAAGTGAAGCAATGAGAGAGACATGAAACAAGAATGGCACAAAACAACAACAACAACAACCACCCCCCACTTGCTGCTCTTGGCTATCTTGCCTGAGCTGCTGTCAGTAACAGGCCATCCAAAATACCTGAATAGTTGACCACCCTTTTAAAAATGTTGTATTTTTGCATTCCAAATGCACACAGTATTTTTCAGGGTTTTTTGTGTGCAAATGTGTAGGGTTTTTTGTGTGCATTCCAAATGCACACAGTATTTTTCAGCCCCTACTTGGGCTTCTGCAAGTACATAGGTGCCCTCTTCTGTGGGAAGCCTCACCTGGGCAGTATCTGCTTTCAAGTGCAGCAGGTACCAAGCCTGGACACTGCCCTAGAAAGATTCCAAACGGTTCCCCTCCCCTGTGGTCTGCTTTGCCCTGACAGCTGTCAAAACACAAGTAACCAAGGGCAAAGAAAGGCATGAAAGATCTCTGCTTGGGAGGTGATGGCCAGTTGTACACTCCTTTCCTGGTGAGACCCTTCTGGTTTTTTTTGTTTGTTTGTTTGCCTTGATTCTCCTCTTTTTGGAGAATCACATTCTGCACTTTTTCCAGAGCCTCTCGCTGTTTGGAAAAGTGCATCCTGCCCCATTCTGTAAGAAACGGAACTGTCAAAATGCTAGGTCCCCCTGCACATGAGGTTTGATGGGGTAATGGTTTTTTTAGGAATGATACGTCAAACCCCTTTCCCCAAGAACAGGAATTGGGATGCGCTGCTGCACTTCGCCAAGATTCACATTACTGCAGCATTCTAAATGCACTGGTTAAAGTGAAACGTCATAAAGTTGTTTCCGGACATAATTGTGAAACTTTCTGCTGAAGATCTAATACAGCTAATGCTTCTCCCACTCACATGTTCTGGCAACGCCCAATGGCTGCTTCTTTGGGAAAAGGAGGATAACAAGGATAAATTTTTTGACAGAAAGTTGTTCTTAACTAGCTACTCATCTGTTGAAACTTCCTTTCTACCCTTTTACTTCTTTCTCTTGGAGATGCTTTGCAGACCCTCTCTCTCCCCACTTTCACTCTCTCTATGATGATGATGATTTTCTGCAGTGATTTAAAATATTAATAGGCTTCATGGAGGTTTGTTTATAAGAATGGGTTGTTCTTAACTTGGACGTTCAAAACTCAGGAACTGCCTCTACATGCAATATAGAGGAGTACATAGTATATATGTATTCACTGTAGCAGATGCACTGAAATTTCATGTAAGAAAACTGACACTTTCTTTTTCTATTTTAGTTTTGGTGTGCTTTTGCTTTTTAAAACTCACAACAGAATTAATTGCAAAAATAACTGGGAAACTCTCTAAATACTTTAGACTAAGGTTAACAAAAATAAGCTTTGTATATATGTTCCATTAAATGCCATTAAAATGAGGTAACACTAACAAACCAAAGTACTGATGGAGAAGACAGACAGATCCAGCTTTGTTGCTTCAGAGGCCCACTAGAGAAAATTTGAAAGGTGCCAGGGCAGTTGTGGGGAGAGAGAGAAGGAGACAAAATTCACAATCTGCCAGTGGTATCCATTTCACAGGTACAACAATCAAGGCAGATTCAAGAAACACAGTCTGGAAGATCCAAACAACCACACTCTCAGGTACCCCACGCTCTTGGTGATTTGGTATACAAATGGTGGTCTATTTCTTCTTCTTGCACCTGCAAATCCTCTAGCATTTCTTGATGCTTTTGTTCGTGTATTACTTGATGATGTGGCGTATCATTAGTATACTGACCTCCAATTCCTTCTCATCAAATGTCTTCAGGAGATGCTGTGGAATTACTTCATTAAATCCCTTCTGCAGAGCCAGAAACTGGGCTTCAATTCCTCGTAAAAATCGCCAGTTTACATAAAGCCTGAAACAAAGTGGACGTTCTGTTTGCAAAGGAGTATCTTTATGCTTTGCATCTTAAATTTTGACTTCAGCCTGCAAACATTGCTACCAGAAACAGAGACAACCTACTGTGCTAAGCATCTATATAGCACATCTTCACTATTACACTCTCCAGATGGGAGAGTATAATAGATTTTTGTAAAGACTGCACAGCTTAGTACCTGACATACTCCTTTTTATTCTCCTCTGTGACAGGAATGCTTTTGCCATTAGGTTTCAGTTCATGTTGTATAATTTCTCCATATGCATTATGTTCCACACAAAAAGTATGGTCCAGGACTCCTGTAATATCGTTCTCCCTAAAGAAGGATAAAAACAAAATTACATGAATTCCAAACATCTAAGCATTTTCTAAGTATATATTCTGCAGCCTCCTATAAACAAACATCCCAGTTGCACTTCTGTTACTCTCTCTGTTCACTGGCAAGGCCAATAAATGATGGACTTTCCAACATTGTGTGGAGCGATGGGAAATGGAGGTACATTCTTTTCTCATTACACATTACAGAGCTTCCCATATTAAGGGAGTGATGCACTTAATTACAGCTGTAGGAGCCCAACAATGCTTTATGTCACAGTAATTACAAAATTACATCTGAAAAAAAATGAAGGTGCTCAAGATGTACTTCCCCAACACCAAAGACAAAAAGAAAAAACGCAGAGGAATAATCTGTTAGTACAAGACTACGAAGTGCATTCTGAGAAGCATCTGCGCTACTCACAGTGTCCTCCCCAGATATAGGGGCTGGCTTCCCCTCCAGCCCAATGCAATACACTTTCCCCCCTCAGTCACCCTAACAAGGCTCAAATCTTCTAGACCACTTGAGATGTCAAGGAAGGGGAAGTGGTTTTGCCCTTGTTCCAAATGAACAGTGGAGAGGCTCCAATCTACAGAGTCATCCTATTGAGTCCACAGCTCTTCTTTCTCCTCCTTTCTGACAGAAGCCAGGTAAAAAGCTTGAATTTTGTGTTCTTGCTTTTGCTTTTTGGGTGTAGAGAAGCAATCTCTCTTTTCCTCTTTCCTTATTTTATTTGCTTCTTTATACACACTTTTATATACTGTTCGCCATAGTCAATTTGGGTCTCAGAATGGTTTACAAGAATAACACTAAGATTAGATTAAAATACAATAAAATAATAAAATAGCAAAACAATCATAATGCAGTTCAATAACAATACATTTCAGCAGTCCAGGCCCTGAGCCAACCAGCAAAAGCAAAAACTAAAGTAAATTATAGACAGAAATAAAAAAAAGAATAAATAAATGAATAATAAAATACCTGCGACCCGGCAGGTACATAAAACCAAGTATGATTTTTAAAAAATGCATCACTTAACAATTAAAATACTGGGCAAACAAAACACTTTTTGCCTGGTATAAACAGGGTGCCACTACCAAGAAGGTAGCATCCTTGGCAGAATGCTGTTTCTCTGCGCTGGATGGGAATAAGAGAAGCTTATAAATAACTTGAACAGAATAGTCATTCCAGACATCATATTTCTGAAAAGATCATTACATACAGTATCCATACTAAGCTGTTGTGAAGATCTGGGTCAACCAGTTCCATGTCATCCAATGTAATAGGCTTCCCTAGCAACTGCTTATAAAAAGGCAATGTGAAGCCCCCATCGATGTAATGTCCATGAAATACAGCCATCCCCATGATCCGTCCAACAAAGTGGAAGTAGGATAAGTGTTCCTAGAATTGAAGGAGCAAAAATATTCAAATCAAGGTTCCTGGGCATGCATATTCTACTGAAAAAATTTCAAAGCTGCTTATCACACACATTAGGTTTGCCTAAATGTCACAATGAAAGTCAGAATAGTAAAAGATGCTTAATGTGCCTGCTTTACTTTCCTCACCAAGATAAATATTACTCATTTATTTAAAACATCTGCATGTTGCCCCATTGTGCCACAGCACCTCTATGCGCCTCTCTTACTTTTACTCTCTCCTATCTTTACTGCATACCTGTCTATTGCCACAGTGTTTCTGCCTTGTTATTCATGCTGAAAATGGTTCTTTGACCTGGGGCAAGGATTCAGGCACATCCAGGGTAAATTGGACAGGAGGAACACCAGACGTTATTTTGTATTTATTTATTTAATATATTTATACTCCGACTTTCAGGGCACCCCCACCTCTGCAATAATGCTTCTATCTGTTCTAAAAATGAAGCTGACCATCATAACAGAATTTCAATGTTTATAACAGTAGAAATGTTGGAAAGGGAACTTGTTGGCCACAGAAAGTATGAGGATTTGTAAAGTGCTTCTTCATACCGGGTTAACAGCAGAATCTGGATTTATCTGTAGCGTATATATGTCATCACGTGAATACTGGAAGAGGCCATAATATGGATTCAGCATTTCATGGGAGAGCAAATAGAGCCATTCCCTGAGGAAAACACAGAGCACTTTACTATAAGACAAACACTGTTAAACTGCTGCCCAGAAATCCAGACATTCAACAATACAGGTCTATTCCTAATCAATGGTGGCAGAATCTCACAGAATCATAGAATAGTAGAGTTGGCAGGGGCCAAGAAAGCCATCAGGGCCATGGAAATAGCAGTTCCTTACACGTCTGTCCTGCATGCAGCTCCCTCAGAGGTTTTTGTTTCAGTTTATTTCAAACAGGTGTCCTGTTGCCTCGTCTGCTGTCTCTAGTCATCTAATGCTGTGCTTATGACAAAGGCTCCGTACCCTGTCATTGCACCAGCTATACCTGTGACTAAAGCTGCCAAGCTCACTTGGCATAATTTAGGATATAGCTACTGAAATCTCAAAAGCTGTCAAAGGAGATGGAACAGGTTTTACAGGATTTCTAGCAGGGAAGTGCAGCTTCTGTGTTCTCCACCTTTATATGTTTGTGCTCCAGAATAACATTATGTAAATGAGGAAACACAAGGGGAAGAAAGCACTGAGAGAAATTTAGGGTATATTTAAAATATACAAAGTAACCCATATCTTTGTGAATTAAATAAATAAACCAAATGAATATCTGAAAAAGGTGCCAGCTATTAGGTAAATGTAAAAGTTGGAGGAAAATTTATATGCCAGCTATTAGGTAATTGTAAATGCTGGAGGAATGAGAAGGGGACAGGGTCCTATGAAGGGCCTAGTAAGACCCTTCGGGCCTATGAACAGTGATATATCAATATGGAAGATTAATGCTACTCCTGGATGGCACGGTCAGCTTATCTGGCTGTGAGAAAAGACTGTGGTCACAAAATAAGGATGAAACCTGCATATAACTTGGCACTGATTTCTTAAAGGCTTCTGGGGCCAGTTGCCAAGCTTCGTAGCTATTTTGCCAGCTGCTTCTCCCATTCCTACTCCTTTTATATCATTCCTTCTGCCTCCCACACCAAATTTTCTTTCTACAGCCTAAGTCTATTTTTTCATATACACAGTTGCATGCCATCCGTTGATACCTAATATTTGCTTTTTTTAAATAACATATTTACAGGCTAGTCTTCAATATGAAATTCTTAAGACAATTCATATATTATAATACCAGAATTGTACAGTAACACTAATTAAAATTGAACGGTAAGCTGATTATGCAGTTTATGTAAAATTAATAGCATTTAATATGATTACATTGATTAAAGGTTTAAGGAGGTAGTACAACCAAAAATATAGTATGTGGCACTGGCATAGATGTGGAGTTCTAGTCAGTAAAACCCTAATCACAGGATGTTCCTACTGGAGGAAAAAGTCGGCAGGTGAATTCTGCTGACTCCTACCTCCTGCAGATCCCAGAAAATCTGCTCCTGGAGACTGGAGAACCTTCTGGAGAAGTGTTGGAAGTTGTATGCCAAACTACAGGAGGAAATCAGCAGAAATTTCCTCTACCTCCAGCAGAAGCCTTTGCTGGATTGCAGTCTCTTCCATGAACAGAAAACCCACAGCAGACTAAAAGGCTCCAGGTTCATTTGATACAAACACAGAAATGTTCCATGTACTCTCTTGCTTAACATCAGAAGGTCACTTAAAAAAGAGATGCTTAAAATATACCCTTGTATGTTTTAAATTTTGTTGCTAAGTTGCCTTGAGTTTTCTTCTGAAAATGTTGTCCACTCATCACCAACATCATCATCATCTTTCAGATACAGAGGACAGAGCCCATCTACTGTGACAGGAAACTATATTATTAAAATTTAGTGCCACTCTCCACATCTTATTGGAAAAGAATAGAAAAGTTCTCATAATACCTTAGGAACAGGGAGATGCAATTAATAGTTCCCTTTGTTTCAAACTAACAGAAACTTCCACCCTTTACCAGAATAGACCACAAGATGGAGCCCTTACTGGCGGCAAATCTGTTATCCAATTTGTACTAACTAGATGAACTCAACGGTTCTGTTTCTTTAGCCCTTCGTGCTTCAGAATGGAATCCTTGGCTGGACCTAGTACAGGGGGCCAAAGCTCTAGGAAATCCCTTATCTGCTCAGCCCTTACTCTATCAACCCTTGCTCATGTGGAAATGACTAGAAAATGATATGCTGCCACTGTATTAGTTCAGTTTGGCAGCTGGCATTAAAGATCTACTTGCATCTTGAAGAGCATTTATCAGACAGTCTTATCAAGAGAGCCTGTGCATCTAGTCATGTACACAGAAAGACATCCAGAAGTATTACCAAAGAGTTCTAAACTACATGCCTCATAATTAGCTTAAGGAACAACACACACACAGACAAAGAATTGCATATCTCCAGGATGTGACCTACAACTGATGTTAAGTACAGTGGCCAGACAACAGCTTCAAATGTCCTAAAGCCCTAAACGGCTTGGGTCCTGGCTACCTGAACGAGCGCTTACGTCCGTATATGCCCGACCGCCCTTTGAGATCTGCGGGAGAGTCCCTTCTCCGGGAACCCTCCATGAAAGAAATTAGGAGAGTAAGTACCCAGAGGAGGGCTTTCTCTGCGGTGGCGCCCAACCTATGGAATTCACTCCCCAAAGAGGTCCGCCTGGCACCATCGTTACTGGTTTTTCGGCGCCAGGTAAAGACCTTTTTATTTAAACATCATTTCAATTGTTAAAACATATGATCTGGCCAGGGCAACTTCTTCTTCCTTCTCTTTCTCCTCCTATATTTTTATTTTATACTGATAATTTTAATTTTATATTTGTAAATCAATGTATTTTTTGTATTTTTGTATTTAATGGTAATTTATTATGTACTATTGTATTTCAATGTATTTTATCATGTTGTAAGCCGCCCCGAGGTTTTGGCAAGGGGCGGCATAGAAATGTTATAATAATAATAATTATAATAATAATAATAATAATAATAATAATAATAATAATATGTGGCAGTCATCAAGCAGTACCACTATGATTGGATCTAGGTCCATCCTATATGGGTGTCTCCTGCGTTCAACATTATTTCTCCTTTTGTTTGCAGTAAGATTCAGAATGTTGCTCTTTGATCAAAACCCTAAACATTGCACCTTCAATAGTCAGCCTCCCCAGAACAGGTGTTACCCAACATGACTCTGAGATTTTATTTATTTATTTAAAGTTTTTATATGCCGTCCCCTTGCTATATAGCCTCGGGACAGCTCACAGAAATAAATACAAAACAAATAACAATTACAATTAAAACCCGGAAACACACTGGCTGCACAATTAAAACCTATAAATATTAAACATTATTAAAATATTGTTTGAATAAAAAGGTCTTGGCCTGGCGCCGAAAAACAAATAACGACAGCGCCAGGCAGACCTCTCTGGGGAGCACATTCCACAGATGGGCCGCCACCACAGAGAAAGCCCTCCTCTGGGTACTTTGCTTCCTGATATATTTCACGGAAGGCTACCGGAGGAGAGCCTCTGCTGCTGATCTCAAGGGGCGGGAGATCACAATCCACCTCACAGTAAGTTGCTGAAAGAGGAAGCCAGAGGAAGGGCACTGTGCACAAGGTGCTGGAAAGTGCAGGGAGTGTGTTTAGTAGTCACCCGATCTCTCCTGCCTTCCTCTCTTACCACAGCAACTATGCAAAAGGAAATGTCTTGGCACACCACCTGATGTAAAAGATCAATCTCCACAGGTTCTTTCTTTCCCTGTGCTCACCCTGCAAGCTGTCCTCCCCCACCCCCAGACCTCTTTCACTCTTCCTGTTTCTTTCTCTGTTAGCTTCTGGATCCTCAAGTTGCCTAGTCCCAACTCTCACAATTTCCTCAGAAACTTAGTCCATTGCATTCAAGCCCACACTCACTAAGCGTGTTTGCAGCCTGGTTCCCTGTGCACAGGGAATCACTGGCTCAGACACAGTGCATTTTTGGAGCCATTTTCACCACATTTCAAATCCTTTGCACAATTTTCTATGTATTTTCTTCCAAGTCTAGAACTCTTGATTTTATATGAACTGAATGCATCCACATTAGAGTCTGTGTAAGTGCCTTGTTATTTCCCCATGGCGATCATTTATGTTTATGGGCTGTTCAGCAGTTTTGGGTATGCTGAGGGATGGGAGAGCATTCAGCATCTATTACAGGCTCCAAGGTCAATCTCTAGCCATGGAAAGCTCTAAGTGCTGATACGGCCACAAAGTGCTCCTGATCTGAGAGGTTGTCTGCTGGGAGTAAGAAAAAACGGATAATGTTAATACTACTGGTTTCACTAAGAGCTGTTGAACATCCCGTATTTTATAGGATAGCTGTGTTCATATGTACATTCTCTTCTAAAAAGACTGAATTAAGGTATAGATTTTGCATACCAGACGTTGCTGAAGTGCCAACTGCCTCAGAAAAACACCCAAGTTCCCTCTCCTCCTGAAAATTGTTAGACTCTGCCCTCAGGTTGCACCTCAGAATACACCAGGTTCCAAGAGTCAGTATTTACTCTTTCCGTATCTGGAAATCCTAGATGCTCCTGGATCACTATCATTTTCTTGGAGCGACAAAGCTAAGGTATGCTGTGTATAGTTAGGTAACAAAACGAATTTACCTGGCGACTCCTCCATAATCGAGGCCTTCTTCCCCACGAAATTTTATCATTAATCTCTTCCACAGGTCTTTAGGCCTCATCTTCATGACTTGCCTGTAAGACTCCTGGAATTACATCAGACACTCATTTGTATTATAAACCTTTTATTGGCATTTCCTCTGTTCATGAAAAAATTCCAAACTTTATACATTCTTGCATTAGCAGACATGTAAAAATTTATTGCCAAGGAGACATGCCAGTAAAAATGCCTTGACAGATATATTTCTTTCACAGCTTTCATAAATTGTACATATTTTAAGTTAAGTACCTGAAAAAACAAGGATGACAATATTTTTAGTGCGATACTCTACTTGGCAGTGTTCCCCCACAAATGAAATGCTTGATAGAATCAGTTTGTGGTGAATCTATATTGGACTAAGATGGTTTCCACAGTCCCTGCAGAATGGAAGCTCTGGAAACCATTTTGGAGCAACAGGACAGAACATTTATCCTTTACTGTCACAAAAAAAGGGCAGTTCATACATTGCAGCACCAAAATCCTCTGGAATTTGTGCAGTCAGATCCTTTCACTCATCTATCAACCTACGTTATTTTAAACAAGACTTGATTCCAGAAAAACTGGCACAGGACTGCAAACTTAATTTATGATTTAACAGAGAGGACATACAAAGAAGAAAAGTCGGTCTCCTTCAGTTATCACTCACCTCTAACCAAAATATATGCTGTATTTCAGGGACATCAAGTTCTTCTCCATCTATAAGGCAAAGCCACACTCACCCCAGTGGCAGGCTTACCCACCTTTTTAAGATCTGTAGAAATTTCATAATCCTAGAGTTACCTCAAAAATTTCTTCCCTGGAGACTTCTATGCGACAATGTCCAGCTTGAGGCTGCTGTTGGGACAGCTCTTGCCGCAAAATCTTGAGTTTTTGCACAAGGTCCCGCTTGTACCTTGGCACAGTCAGACATTCAGCCTCATCTGGAAGCTGGCACAACGACACCACCTGTTGCTGTTGCTGCTGTTGCTGATGATCTTTAAGTTGGTTCTGACGGCTGAAATGAACCAAAGCCACAGGGGGTAGTATTAAACACTTCCAGTTGTTTTCCCTTCCACAACTAATTAATATGTACTTGGAATAAAATTCAGAGGAAAATATAGTATCTGTTTCTATAGTTACACTGTTCTGCTCCACTAAATGTCTCTCAAGAAGCCAGAAGACGCACATATTTGTTGGTCTTGATAATTTCCTATTAGTTTTGGAGCATTTTAAAAATGTTTATTACATACAAGGATTATGTCAAAACACAACTAATCAAAAAGTAGGATACTATGAGTATATCCTTTTTAAAAATCAATTGCCTCATGAATTAGCTTGTACAGGGAGTTTGGCAAAGAGGGTATTCTTTAAACCTGGACTAATCTTGATCATGGGAAAGTAGCTAGCTTTGTATGTAACCAACTGGTGCAGATAAACAAATATTTTCACTAGCTATTCCCAATAATGTCTTGAAGCTAGATTCAGATTATGAAGAGAGAACATTCTGTAACAAACAGTTTTCAAGGTAAAAAATCTGAAACATTTATTTTCTATAGTTGCAGATTCAAGTCAAAATTTGCTGTGTTGTATGCAGTTTTCTTTTCAAATATGACCTTTGCTATTTCATAGGATTTCTCTTCTCCCATGTTAAGTATTTATATACACACACCATAGCCTTGCTAGAATAAATGGACAGCATCCTTTGACAGAAAAAGAAATTGGTATTTTTTTAAAGTTGAATTCTTGTCATGTGTTATTTCAACTGTAAGCACAGAGCTTTGAGCTAAATAAAGAGCTACAATAAAGAAGCTGCAAAGTAATTCAACTACAAATTATGTGTTGTATGGCCAGATCAATTGGCTATGTTGTATAGTTCTGCTACACATGGGTCAGAGCTGTGGTGATTGCAAGTAAACTCAGACAGGGTGTACAATTTGGTAATGACTGCAGAAATCAGTATCCTTAGAATTATTCTCTCCTTCTTTCATTCATTCAAAAGAAGAACATTTTTAGCCCTTGTGCTATAAAGGTTAGATATTTTTTAAATGGAAAGTGGAATGCAAATGAAAGTCACAAGGCTGTACGAGTTATAAGCTATAGGCAACATTAAACAAGATCTCCAAAGCCAGTGGGATTCTTGGTGATCACTATGAAGAGCCAGGTTCTTGCACAGCTTATTGCCTCTTCCCATTATTAGCAGAGGATGAATAAATTTTGCAAGCAGGATAAATTATACACATTAAATTCACATGCAAAATGTAGACAGAATTGTAATTCTTTATGTAAAATTCTTTATTGGCAGCAGATCTTCTGATTCATCTTTTTCCTTGCTTTCTCACCTCTGCTACCCAGATGTAACTGCTATGTTCCAAAACTATGAGATCAAGTGAGCTCAATCATTCTCTAGTTTTTCAGCATTACAATGCAATGGACCTCAGCTGGTTGCAGATTAATAAGAACCAGGCAGAAATATGTTTTAAATAAATAATAAATTTCCAGGCTGCCTGGTAAGGTGTGAGCCTTTGCTTTGAATATATATGTGTGTGTGTATGTTGTTTATGAATGGTGACTGGTGCTTTCCAGTGTTATAAATAAAACTTTTAGCAGTGGGCATGGACTCTATCTTGGACTTCCTGCAAATCCCCTTCTGGTGAGTCCTCCCATGGGGCTTGGACTATTGGGCAACATCAGCTGCAGAGATGTGTTGACAGTTACGCCCTCAGGCGGAAATGTTAAATGTACCATTATCATGAGCCAAGCCTTCTTCCCAAATTACCCAGTAGTCAGCCTGAACAACACAACCTACAAACAGTCAGGCTATCAGCAACAAATGCCTTCTGCTTTTTGCCAAAGAAATATCTCTTGCACTTAGGCCTATATAAATGTACAGCTTTCCCCCAGTCACTCTGCTGCCTGCACATCGTGTTTATTTTAGGCAAATTCTGACTTTTAGAAAGGTAAGAATAATAGAGTATTCTCAACTTACTCGCTCTGAGTGAAAAGGCAAATGAACTCATGTGCTTTAGACTAAATTTAGTTTCACTGGAACAGGTACAGTTTGATCTTACTTTTAAAAACACACCTAAGACTTTGGATATACTGAAACAACCAACAGGTCTTTCCTTTAGTACACATAAGAGGAAAATCATTTTCACACATCCTGTCTGGTACAATAAAATAGCCAACACAGGAGAAAATTTATCATACTGTAGACTTTGCTGATGACACTGTTGGTTGAATTTCTGAAATCTTTTCATAATGTAAGACAGATGTACGAATGAAAAGACTTAAATGTGTAGTAATAGCTTGAGAAGTGCAAAAAGGTTATGATTTTGAAGCCTGCAAGAGAAATAGGATTTTTCTACTGAAAGACAGATTTAAGATTGCTACAGATGCTTTAGAAATCTATAACATAAAACTATTGCATAGGCCTAAATTGCTTACTGTTAGAAAACGGAAAAACATTTAAAATGCAATTGTTTATCTCTGAATAACACAAACTTTAAAAATAGCATTCTTCTTCAAGTAGATATATGCAAGCTCAGAGGTACATGTAGTATTTGGCTCTCCAGCCAACAGATTAAGAAAAAACTTTCTAAGAGTAAGGGCTGATTTCATTAAGGAAGCCACAGCCTTGAATTTAGAGCAGCTAAGCAGGGATGCCATAGATAGGATGTTTTGGAATGCTTTCATTCATAAGGTCGCCATAAGTCAAATACAACTTGATGGCACATAACAACATCAACAAGTACTCATACTTTAGAAAGAGACAGCCCCTGCCTCCCTCTAAAAGTAAATTTATGTCCCATAGCTTCATCACCAAATCTTACCCTGTGGCTTCCTATTCCCAGTTGCACATAGCTCTCTAAGCCAACCAACTTTCTGTTTAATACCATGCAGGTGTTTCCCAAAAATAGCATGTAAAAGGTGTTAGAGTGAGAGACGACGAAGTAACATTCCAGAAGTGTCTGAACAAATGGATAGATGTGTCTAGACAACAGCCAAATTGATTTAGTGAGTCTCTTTTGCTCTTGGAAACATGGTCAACAGAGTAAAGTTAGCAAAGTACCAAATGCAGGAAGAAAAGACAGGGGGATTGTAAAAGGTGCAGACAAGACCATTTTATTGCCTAATGCAATCAGGATTAAAACTCTTCTTCAGATGCAACTGATTAAATTCTTTAAACACTGTCTTGTCTGTCATCTCAAACTAACCCAAGATTTTTGTTTCCTTTGAAAAAGTATAACAACAGTTGTTTTTGAGGAAGTTGTATAAGACAAAATATCCCTGGATAATAAATTGTCTCCTGTGTATCTTTGAGATTAACCCCTTTTCTGTTTTTGGAAACTTAGGATAGGAAAATTGGAGGGTTCTATTTTCCCCCCAAAGGGCTTTTTGGGTTGTTGTTTGTTGGGAACATGCAGGATTTCAGCTCCTTCAAAGAGATGCAACCCAAACAAGAAATACCTCTTTACAGGAACACATTTCCCTTCCATTTTCTATTGCTTTTGTAGCATTTTGAAACAATTAGTGGTATATACATTGACAATACTTGATCTCTAGAGAAACTGCATGGTAGAGCAACTCATACATTATAATTCTGTTTACAAATTCATATTTCTTCATTAAATAACTATATGACTAGTCTAATCTTACAACAATCTTTAGAATCTAGTGCATAAAAAGAATAATATACAACAATTTAAATAAGTAAACACTTACTTATGCTATTTCCATACTGCTCAATAGCAGAGACTCTTTAGACAGTCATTAAGTTCACACCATAAACAAGTCACTACTATCCAACCCTCCACATAAACTGAAATTGGGACTCTCTGGCTCATGGACTGGATGGGACTCACTAGGCTTCTCCATACATCCTGCCAAGACTGGGTCGTGGCCCTTTCCCCTCCTGATGCTCTGCTGTTTTGAAAAGGCAAAAGCAGCAAGGAGGAAGGGGCTCCCTAGTTTTCTGTGCTGAGTGGTGGGAGAAAGACAATGTGGAATGTGTGAGAGCTACAGATGTACTATGGAGTGATGGGTATTATATAAGGGGATGTAAGTGTGTCCATGTCTCTGAGTGAGTAGGGGATATATAGGTGTGTTTGAGGGGCATGAATGTGTGGGAGTGTTAGTGTGTGCACTTGCTCCTAAGCGTGGTCTTACTCACTGCTGGCATGTGCCTCCTCGACATGTCTCCTGAATCAATGATGTCTTTGGACCACAAAGAATTCCCTACCTGCCATAAACCTCTGAAGCACCCTCTAACCTACCTTTAGCTTACCTTATTCATTTGTTCATTTATTATATTTATATACCACTTTTCTCCCACTGCGGAATTGATGATGGCTGCATGTTGTTCCCAGGTGGTCCCCCCGGGATACAAACATACAAACAGCTCAAGCAAGCCCCAGACCCGTTTAGCTTCAACATGGTGGATGGCTTTTGTGCCTTCAGACCATACTTTGGGACTTATGGTCAGTACAGCAGGAGTAGATGGAGGCCACAGACAAAACGCATTAACAGCTGTGCTTGGCCATCTGGGCATGCGTGTTTTAATCAACATGCTCTTTATCCTGTTCTTGGGTTCTTCAGTGCTGGATCTGTGAGTCCTACAAAAGACCTATGCTCTGCTACTGTGGCTCAGAAATGGCATTCGGGGTACAATCACACACCCACCTTCCTAAGAGTAAATTCCACTGAACTCAGCAGAACTTATTCTGGGTTACACAAGAACAGAATTGCCTCGTACTGTTTTAAAATATTAATGACAATATAATATGTTATTATAATTCCTCATTACTTCCAATATATTTTTTCAGTAATATATTTGTGTTTCTTGTGAGGGTTCCACCTATAAAAGCAGTTTAAAAGTAATGTTGGATAAGTGGAGGGATAAAACCTTTCTTCCAGCTATAGTCAAACTGAGAGGCTTATTATCAACTTAAAGAAGTTACAGAACACAAGGTGGCAGAATCTATCTACTGTGCATCCCCAGAGAACCACTTTCATGCTCTAAATATTAGTCTGTGTGAACTGGTGACATCATGAACTCACTTTAGAACCAGGTGCAAGTTAGCCGATAGCCGTGGATCTGTAAACTGTGTCGTTCTGTTGTTATGGTCAACAAAATAAACTCTGCCTGTTGCTGTATTTCGGATCTCCCATCCAGGAGGCAAAGGACCAAGCTCTTCGCAATTGATGTTGCTAAGATCCCTGCAAAAACAAACATAAAATGAAAAATACCTCAGCATTTGGCCTCAGAGCCAAACAAGCGTAAATGTAACATAACAATTCTATGAAACCTGAGTGTATGCATCATTTCAGAAACTTGATCTATTCAGCTGGAATCCCAAGGAACAAGCCCACCAAAGAAAAAGAAAAACACACGCTTACAAAAACACTCCAGTACTCATGCATTGGAAAAACTGTTATCACACAGCCTACATTTAACCCCCCTACCCCATCAGTAATTTACGTGATACTGACTTAAAACAAAAATAAAAATCTTTGCTATATTTTGTCTACAGGATTGGGTACAATTGGGTACAATTTTGACAAATATTATAAGCATAATACTAGTCTTTTAAAGATACTTCAGCTGGATTTTTTAAAACTCAAGACAGACATTTGTAAATACTGGTATTTTCCATGAAGATTTATGTACATGTGCAGCAGACCACAGACAATTTTAGCCAACTGCAAATAAGAACTGCTAGATGCAATAAAAGTTCATAATTCCATGAGAAAAGTTTAAGTTGCCGTAGGCACATGGTGACACTGAATCATGTAGAAAAATAAAGTTGCTTAATAGGAAAAGCCCAGTTGAATATTCATGAGCTCAGAATTTATGATTAAAGAGCTGTTGTACTGTTTATGACAGTAGTCTTCATTTTATGTATTATTTTTTACTTTATTTATTCAGTTACTATATTTATTATTCTGCCTTTCATCCAAGCAGTTCAAGGCAGCATACATTGCTCACTCCTGCCTATTTTTTGCCCTCACAACAACCCTGTGAGGTAGGTTAGGCTGAGAGACAGCTGCCTTAAGGTCACCTGGTGAACTTCATAGTTGAATGGGGATTTGAAACTGGGGCTCCACAGCCTTAGCCCAACACTTTGACCCTAGCTTCCTCAGCATGCCGCCCATGGCTACCAATATGCCCGGACACACCTCTTTTGATGCTCGCCACCCTGATCTTTAAAAACAACAAAAACAACCACCACCACAACCTGGGCAGTTGACATGCTGCAAAGTGACTCACTGGGCTCAAGCATTATTTTTATTTGCAAGGATAAAAACGCAGTCCTTCATTTTGAAGCACTGCTGGGAAAAAGAAAAACCGTAGGAGTCTAGAGGGTATGGTGTGTGCGTGCGTGATTTCCTTGGACTTTTTTTTATTTTTGGTGTGGTATATGTTAGTTGGTTTATGCTTTGCGTGATGCGTGCATGTGTGTGGCATTTTGCCAGTGTGTGCTTCTCTGAGCATCATCAGTTTGCCTGCTGTGAGAGGGGTATTCTACACTTTGTAAGAGCAAATAAATTATTTGTCATATGGGACTCTCTGCCTTGTACTCAGTTCCTTGACCAAGCTACTAGTCATCCTCATCAGTTCGCTTCTACACTGGAATACACCCCCCCACAAAAAAAAAAAACTGGCTTCAAACGAGGGTTTTTGAGTTCTAGATCCAAAATTCTACCTTGTATTCAGCTTCCTGGGCAAGTCCCTTTCATTTTAGCCTCATTGGTTTGACTTCTGGGAAATGGGTGCTTTATGACTGTCCAAACCCTCCAGAGCAGCCATTTTCTCTGACTGGCCCATGACACAATCAATCTGAAATGTGCCCACTGGCCCCAAAATACTGAGACCCCTCACCATATATCACATTAGCAGTGCAGACAATTTGATCAAGCTGGCTTAATAGGTGCAAACAGAGGGTGATATCTTGAAATAATTTCATGCCAGTGTCCGTTAATGCTAAGGGAAAATCATCAGCACTTTAGCTAGAAATAGCCATTGTAAGGGGCTTTTGGTACACATTTTACATTCAGAAGGTCCTAGGCTTAACACTGGTATCTCCAGGCAGAAATGGAAAAAGTCCTGCTTGAATCCCCAGACAGCCAATGTTGGCAATAATGCTCCAAATGGACCCAGGGTCTAACTTTTAAGTGCTGCCTATGTTCCTATTGTGCATACTTTTAGTTAAAAAGCTAAAAACAGCATATGTCCAGAAAACTAGAATTCTGAGAAGCAAATCTGCATAGATTTGGATACTTCGTTTTGTTTAAACTTTTTTTAAATCATAGAGATAGGAAGGAAGTATACAATGCATGGCCACTGATTTTTTTTTCCTCAATAGCTTTTTGATTTCTATAAATTCACTGGGACTAAAAGTATCACACTGCCCACATTTCTCTTCAAACACAGGGGCTATGAACTTCCTTTCAGGGATTAGGTTGCTGCATTTTCTGAATCCAGTTCTTAATTTGAGCTTGCAGAAGATCACCAGATCAATACATGTAGGCCAATGTGCTATTATTTCAGATTCTTCTGTTTTTATGGATCACTAGCTTGATTTATGAAGAGGCTTTAATTTAACTTACAGCATCAAATGAAGGTATATTATTCCCTTACCTAGGTACGCGGGGATCATGCCACGTGCTTACACCAGTCTGAGTATGTAGGAAATACACCTGCCCTTGCTGAGTTGTCCTTTGCTCTGTTCATCAAGAAATACCAATGGGAAAACAAATAACACTCAAAAGATAATTTCTTTAAAAGCCAAGGGGACTGCATTATTGCATACAAGTTACATTTTTCCTGGAATTTTGCATACCCTTGGAATATTATGCTGAAAAGGTATAACTATAAGGATAACTTTAAGCAGGAAGCCTGCATAGTCTGTGTATTTATGGTCTTGGCACAAAAACAATGCTTTGGACTACAGAATCTGTCTTAGAATCCCAAGAGTTGTAGTTATTTCAAATGTCTGTTAGCCTTCAACAGTTTCTCCAATAGTGAGGAAGGACTTCATATATATTTATGCTGCCTTCAGCCTATTAGTAGTGGAAGTTAATCTGGAATTCATGAGCATTCCATTTAGATCCCTTTCACTATCACAAGAACCTCCCCCATTGTATTCTACATCATAGGCATCTAATACCATCCACAAGAAATGATGACCCCTGTCCAAACCCCTATATGTGTGTCACCAACAGTTCCTCCTGGGAGTTTTGTTAATGCTTTCCCTCTTTTATTCCTCTTCACTGTTCAGCCACTCTCCATAATTCTCCTGCCTTTTCTTCTTCTATGACAGATGTGACAATAGTGAAGCATCCCTTTTCCTATACACATAGTCACCTTTAATCCTTTCCTGTTCAAACCATTCATTTAAAAAAAAAAATCCTGCAGCCACAGCCACTACCAGTTCAATCTTTCAAGTCTATTTTATGCAAGGCCTCCACACATCTATCACTTCTGGCACTGGATCCAGTGTGCTTAGAAAGGGGACACTTCCTGCAGTGAAGCCACCTATTCAGTGTTCTTGCTGAACACTACCAAATGATCGATCCTCAGGTGATTAGTTCTACCAAACTGACAGCACTGACCACATACGTAGCAGGGAGAGCCTCACGTGTAGCAGTGCATGCACAGTCCACTGTACGCGCCACAGGCTGGATCAGACCGCTGTGTGCGTACACCTATTTAAATAACTGGTGGTCAGAGAATATCTCTGTCTGGTGAGCCTGCACATCAGCAAAGGTGCACAAGCAGTTAGTCGGATTTAAAAAAAAAGGTAGGGAAAAGGGCAACATGCACTCTCATTTCTTCCATGATTGTAGCACTATTGTAGTGTGGCAAGTGTGCATGCTAGAAACACTAACAATGAAACCCACACAACTTTCCAAACTTCTCCTACTTCTCTCACAATTGCAATATTATGTTTGGTGTAAGGCATTTGACCACATGATAAAACATACTGCTCTGTATTCATTAAGTTCGCCCCAAGAGCAGCAACTGCATTAAAAAAAATACTGGAACAGCAGTGCCTCACAAAAGGAGTTGCATTGTTGATCCTGACCTGATGGTAATCTGTTTAATCATTCATTCAATTTATATAGTTCTATGGGAAGTGGCAAAAATTAGAATATGGTGCCAGAGCCATCCTTACAACAAGGTTTCAGCATCCTATTTTGTTTGAACAATGAGCAAACCAATGAGAAATAAGCAAATGAGTGGTGAATCAGGAACAGCACACTGAAAGGGGATTGTACCCCCTATGGATTGTTTCAAAGGTCAAATAGTTAAACAATTTTAGAAACACATACCATATCCTTCAGGTAAATCAGGAGGAGTATGTAAATGAGTCCTGCTCATGTAGTTCCTGTGCCTTTGAGACCTCACTCTTCTTTCCACCAGCCTAGGGTCAGATGTCTGTCCACATGTTGCACCATTTATTACAGTAAGGGGCGTGTTCTCATCCACAAAGCAGCTTAGTGGTCGACCTGGACTGGAATATTCAGATGCTGGCCTACAGGAAAAGATTATGTATACTTACTGTATCAAAGGAAGTGATTCGCTAAAACTATGGGTAGGTTTAATTAAAGTGTTATGAAAATCACTGATATACTCTGTCAATAAGATTATCATCTAAAATAATCTAATTTGGAAAGGTAATAGCAGTCAAATACTAGTTTTGGCCACAAAATACCTATGGCTGCTTTCTAGAGAAACATATTCAGTTTTTGCATCCTATTACAGATGCAGCAAAGGAAACTGGGGGTGGAGGGGTGAAGAGCCTGATCGAAGGTCTCTCCATGTAGCAGAACGGCTGCTTCTTCAAGCAACAATAAGCCAGGATCCTGGAAAATTGTGGCATGTTGTGAGTGAGCCATTTGCTGGTGTATGAAGCCCGATCACTCTGCTTCATTTCTCTGCAAGTGTGACTGCTAAGCAATCCAGGAATGGTTTATCTAGGTTTTCCAAACTTGAGATTCTAGCTTGTTGTTCCTTTTACAAAAGCAACAAAAGGGGGAATCCCACAAGGAATGCCAAAAGCAAAGGAATAGATAAAAAGGATGTTTTGTTCAAAAAAGGAAAAAGGTTCCAATGTGTTTTGGACTGCAGGATGATCCCTCTTTGGGGAAATGTAGTAGTGCAACGAGTGTTGTTGGCTCTTCAGATGCCAGCCTACGTCTTCCTTTACAAGCCAGGATTTGTAAATCAAGAAAACACTCTGGTTTTACATTGCCAGGACCCCTGGAGTCAACCAACTGGTAACATATAATTACTGGGTTTCTTGTGGTCATACTACTGGGAAGGACAAAAGTGGATGTGAATGGGCTGCATCTTTGAACACACAGCTAGTTCAGAGTAAGTCACAGTTCTCCAGAATTCAGCTTTATTGTTCCATGGAGATATCCTGTTGATTTTACTAATAACTGAATCATTTCTCCAATTTAAAAGTTTGGAGAAAAATGGTCTTGCATGACTGCCAATATCACCATTCAATCCATCAGGCACAGTGACAGATATTCAAATATGGGCCAGTCCTCTTCCCTACTTCCTTTCTCCATGTCATTACATTACTATCCATGAGGCATACTATATCAAGCTCATAGGCAACTGCAATTTATCCAAAAAAAAAGAGCATTGCAATACCTCCTTTTCATTTTACTTTTCCAATACTTCTGCTTAAAGTAATAACACAGATTTTGGGCCTACAAGTTACCTCTCACTGCAGTCATGCAGAGATGCTGGTTGAAAGAAATGTAAGAAGGTTTTTCATTATGGGAACAATCTGAGGGTGGGGCCTTACAAATAAAAATGTTAATGTGAGCAGCAGCCCTAAATGGGGGTGGGGAGCAACAAGGAATACTAACCAGGAATTTGTAATCTAACTACAAATTACAACTAAGAATTTGTAATCTAGGTGATGGAATCTGTTGACTGAAATTCTACAGTATGTATACTCTCCTTTTAAGGATTCTTACCGTGTTGGTCTCTCCCACTGTGTTGTTCGTGTAATGTGATTTAAATACTGAATTCTTCCAGAGGCTGTCCTCCTCTCTTCCCAACTGAAAGTTATGAAACATGTACTTTTAAAGAAGTGTGTGTTAAGACATGCAGGAAAGCTGAAAATGATTACCTCGTCTCCCAACATGGTTATAAGGGTTAAACAACAAATTTTCATTCATACTGTCACCTACCCCATGAGGAAGGAAAAGAACATATATCCCACCTCTTTGTTTTCAAAACTGCACATGAGGCTTTTTAAAAAATAAAAAATAAAATATTCCCTAAAACCATTAAAAATAAAACTGAGAATTGTAGCAGATAACACACCCTGTTCAAATATTTTCTTGAAAGAAAGAAAATCCCACTAAAAGCTTTGATCGGAATTGAGAATCTTCAGCACAACTTGCTTGATTATACTCTAGAAATGTGCAATTTCAAAACTATGCTGAGAGATTTTCATATATGCTTTTATAATGACAGCATGTTTCCTCAGAAATGTGAAGAGAGAAGGTTTATATTATTGACACTTACACCATATATTCTTGTAAAATTAAATTGCTGGTAGGCATTTTCAGTCCCAAATGTAAATATTATTTAAACAAACCAATATTCTATCTCAATTTTTCACTAGTTAATGGCATTGATAACATGTAATATATTATTTCCTTTCTACCTCCAAAATGTTAACTCACCCATCAGGTAAATCATTGTCAAATAGTCTGCTGCAGTCTACAACTTGTCCTCCTGTGCCTATGCGATCTCTGGACTGAAGACTTACTATTAAAAAACAAAAGTCAAAATCAACTATAATCAAATATCGTTTAACTCACAATTGTGTTTGGAAGAGAATGTCAAGTGTACAACAAGGATGTACAACTGCTGCAGCTCCAGTTGGATCCACATTTATCTTTCAAGAAGCCATCTTTTCTGCCCGTTTTTCTTCCTCCTCCACACATCATTAATATAACCAAGATCAGAAAGTTTAGTCTCAAACTGTTTAAATTATCACATTTGAATGATGAGTTTACATGAATAGTATCAAAGTTATGGATAAATAACATGTTCTGAACACTCTGTCTATCATGCTCAGACTGGGCACGCTAAGTGTAAGCAAAGAATGGAAAACTGTTTAAATTAGCCTAAATAACAAGAAGCCGTGAGAAGCCATTACTTCCCTTCACTACTAACTAGACTGGTCTCTGTGGGAGCTGGTTCTTTCCTCAACATACCTTCTGTCACCTCCCCACCACCAAGAAGCAACATGGAGCAATAGATTTGTGGTTGGGTAGCTTGAGTGACAGATTTGGTGCAAGAGAGCACCCTTTTGAAAATGGCAACATTGCTGTAAGGTAAGCAAACTCGGTGCCTAACCTTATCTAAAGCTGCTTTCTCAGTGCAGGAGAGCTCTGTGGCTGCAAGAAGAAAAGCAGCACCACAGTATGGGACACAACTCACAGAAAGTTCAGATCCCACCTGCCAGTGGGGTTCCTGAAGAAGTCACTTCACTTTTCTCCACATAATTGAAGTGTTACCATTAATTGGTACCGAGAGCTGCAAGATTGCCTAGATGAATGACTTATATCAGGAAAAAGACAGTGGAAATGTGACCCTCCTGATTCTCCTACAGCTTTCAGCAGCTTCCACTGCCATTGACCATTATCCTTTCTAGACAGGATAGAACTAGCCCAATGCCAAGGTGGTTTCCAAGTCCTATGTAGAAGATGAATTCCAGAAAGTGGTGCTGGGGGACTACTTCTTGGCTCCACAGCATTTATGCCATGGGTCCCACAAGGTTCTATCTCCTCTTTTAAGCTTTTTACAATTTACATGAAACTACTGGAAGAGGCCATTTGAGGATTTTGTATGAGGTGCCATTATTATGCTGATGGCACCAAGCCTCGCATGTGCTCTCTCTCTCTCTCCAGGTGAGACAGTGGAAATACTGAAACAGTGCCTGGAATGAATAATGGACTAGATGAGGATCCATAAATGGTAGCTTACCCTGCAAAAGCTGAGATTATGTGCATAGGTGGGTAATCTGCTGACATTCAACCTGCTGCACATGGGGTGGCATTGTCCCTAAAATACTTAGTTTGCAGTCTGCCGGGAAGTACTCCTGGATCCAGTTTTGTCACTGGAATCTCAGGTAGCCTCTGTGGAGACAGTTGCCTTCATCACTTAGGTTGGAACTCTTAACTATAGCCTCTCTTGGACAGAAGTAACAGGCCACAGTTATCCATATTCTGGTAACACCTAAGATTTACTACTGTAATGTGATGTACATGGGGATGCCTTTGAAGACTTCTGTCAAAATATACTTGCCAGGCTGTTGGCTGAGACCAGTCAGCAGAAACATATCATACTGATATTGAAAGATTTTACTAGGCCTTGGTCCATTTGCAGGCACAACTCAAAGTGGTGATGCTTCCCTCTAAAGCCCTATATGTCTTAGGAAACAGAAACTTGAAAGCATGCAGGCTTCCACACGAGTTATGTATTGAGGTGTATTTGGAGGTCCTCCTCTAGGTGTCCTGGCCGGCCTGGCAATCAAATTGTATCTTTGGTGCCAGGCAATGCAATTTTTATTTTCACAGGTCACTAAATGCATTTTAAAATATAATTAACGTGTTGTATTTTGTTTTTGTTTTGGTAACAATACCGGATGCTCTGCTTAACAGCAGCATATAAGCTACTAAAACAGAACAAAACTCTACACAGAAATGAAACTGTACATGTAATAGGCAAGACCACAGTCGAACCCAAACCTACTCACCTCTCTTAGTCTTTGGAGCCTGTCCTCTACAAACAAAACTCTACAGAAGGGGCAATATATTTCTCTGTAGACAGCATTTCCATTTCAAAGATTTCACTAATTCCTACTAGTAAATGGTATGGTAGCAGTGCTTCTAGAATCCTTAATTTTGAATTATTTTGAATGTACATATGCTCCTGCAATTTTCACTAACGTGTATTTTTGAAAGATACAACTGTGTTTAGACACTTGATAAACATTATGAAAACACAGTATCCTGTTCCTTTTATGTAATAGCACACATAAGACAGTAACACTGCAGAAGTAGGCAGAACTTCAGTGTACATTCATAGTTATTATTTCCAATAAAAATATACATATACATCAATAAACATGACAGTCTTCAGCCACTTGGTAAAACTGCTTATGCTTTTAAGATTTTTCACAACAGAATAATAATCTGGCAATTCTTGGCCTGAAGTGTCATATATAGTAAAATAAAGACTGCTTGGAAAAGCCTAAGTAGCTCTGTTTACTTTATAAACAGGTTAGTCAAGAATAAAACTGAACACATGACTTTATTTGTGGTTTCTGTGGCATTAAGATTAATGTGCTTTTCCTAATCCTGTTTAGATTGGAAATGAAAGCTCATGTCTAGACCAAATGCACATTTATCCAACAAAAGATAGCAGAGAGGCCAGGCCCCACTGCAGCCAAAAGGCATGCCAGCATTCTGAATGTGGGGCACCATCTGAAACGCCACCTGCTGAAGTCAACATTCTCGATATAGAACAACGCAGTAAGTGCATAATTCTTAAACAGGATCCGGAAATATCAGGACAAAGCACAACTCTAGATTACTCCATCATTTAAATCAAAGCTATTTCACCCCTTCTGTTGTAACAGATCAAACCATAAGATATATCGAGGTTGGATTCAACAGTTCCATTCTATTTACAGTATGGAGGCACAGAAGAGAAACTTTAAACCAATTCAGTATCATAAAGGTTGTAACTGTCTAAAACTCAAATCACAGTATGTAATGCATTTTTTCATAACAATTTTATCAAATAAAATTCTCTTCCAAGTTATCATAATTTGAAAGCATATTCACAGCATATGCAAACATGGCTATTCCTCATGCTATAGCTGCTCCTATTAAAACAAACAATTCATGTAGGCAACAAGTATGTTTGCATTGCCCGAAACATAAGTCGCTTGATCCAATCATACTTTTAAAAAATCCATTGATTTTGAATGGGAAACTGCACTTCTTGGCTCTCTCCCATTAAAATCAATTAAATGTTGACTTTAAGTGGTCTACACTTATACTGGCCTGGTACAGCGGTACTTCAAATCTATGCAAGTTAGGCATTCTGCCAATCAGCTCAAGGTTGTAACAGTCAGGGAAAGTTATTACCTGACTTCAAAAGTATTCTCTTGGGAAAAAATCAATTCACAACAAGATTTAAAAAATAGAGATACAAGGAAGCTATAACACAGATTTGGTAGGTTGAATTTAATGATCTTCTTGTTCACAGAGTGAAATATATTTCAGCAGAGTCTTTTACGCATTGAAAGGAAGGAGGATATTTTTCCACCCACAAAATCTATTCCAGACTGATGGGGAACCCCTCTGAACAGCATGGGGGGTGGCAATGGTGACTACAGGAGAAAGGGGGAAATAATTAATAATGCCTCCCCCCACTTTCATTATGAATGCCTCCACTAGACCAAAAAACTTTCCATGAATGGAAAGACAGCCTAGAATACAACTTGATATATGAGTGTTCCATTTTTCCTCATTTTTGAGGGTCCTCTTTTGGACACTGCACACATGGTATTTCTAAATGATTTTCCTACCTCCCTTGTCACAGAATATACACTGCACATAAAGGAGGCAAAGAAGTCGTAGGAGCCTAAGTAATAGGAACCTATTAATAAACATAGCCATATCCGTAAAATGGAAGCCTAGTGGTTCCTGTATCTTTTTCTATTACACTCACTTGTGTAATAGAAAAACTAACCTTCACATGGACATTTCTTTTCAAATCCAAATACCAAACTTCTGCTGTGTTAAGAATATATGTAAAAGGGGGCTTAAATTCAGCGTTGCACTGCTGCATTACTGTGGCAGAATCCCCCCATAGCCCTTTGAACCACCTAAATCTGTTCCAGTGGGTTTCCCAGCCCACCAAAGCAGATTTTGAGGGAGGATGATGGGCTGTGTGTATGTGAGGGCCTTGCTCCCCACCCAGTTCCACTGAAGAAATGGCTTGCATCAGCAGAATGGCACCTTTGGATCAACACTTACCTACTATCTGTCCTCTAACAGTATCATTGTCATTTGGCCCAAGCTTGCACAGATCCAGCCTCTGATCTATGAAAACAGAAAACATGGCACCATATCACGTGCAACTATCATGTAATACTGCAAAGTACGAGAGATTACCCCTTGCCTAAGAATTTTCTAGAATTTAGTAAATGGGGGCAAGGCATATTTGTTTTGTATTCGAATTACAAATAGGTAAGTTCCATGTAGTACTAAATGTTAAAGTGTGTCTAAAAAGTTTGCTCCAAAATTAGGGAAGTATTGGCATTCTTTCTACTCACAACCAGTGTCTTTAAGGCGGTTGATGGCATTGGAAAGAAGTCTCACACAACCTAGAAAACCAGCTCCTTGTTTTTTATGGATTTTCTTGTGGTTCCACACGCTGATTGTTATTGAATCTGACTTCCCAATATATCTGAAAAAGGAAAAGAATCAGAGAAATACTAGTTACGTTGACTGCACACTTTGCACAGTTTGTGTAACACAATTTATTTCAGACTACAAAATATTTTTGAGGCTTTGAAGAGTAAACATAGTTTCCTCTGGCAGAAGAGGTCATATTCACAGGAACTACATGCTACAGATTGGCAAAAGTCTCTCAAGTAATTTGTTTGTACCACAGATTTTACATGAAAGAATTTCAAAGGAGCTTTTCAAAATGTCTTGTGTAAATCAAGTGTTGCCGACGTCCTTTGGCTAGACAATGACAGTATGTCTAAGGGAAAATGACTGGTATATCACTGGGTGTTTAATCCTCGGGTGGGAGGGGATATAACATTTAAGAATTATGGTTCTCCCTGAGAGATGTTTAGCAGTCTTCTTCCATTACATATTCCGTCAGTACGAACATCCAAGTATTCCACTTACCAAAACACATCCTCCTCCACTCACTCATTAAGTTATCTACTCCCACCTCCACCGCCAAAAGTAGCAATACATCTTTGGTTATCTAATCATAAATGAAGCTGTGAAGGTTGGCAGACCAAAAACATGACCTATCTTCTAAAACTTATAATGTTAGATCTTCTCCACTGGCTATTCATGTAAGTATTCTACTCACACTACCCTGATTTCTTTCTTATATGCTAGCCTTCAGATAAAAGACTAGCTGAAAGATTTCAGAACAGACAAGCATTACAGAGAACAGTGCTCTTGCTGTGATGGTGGAAAGAGGAACTTTGTTCTGGATAAAGTTAAAACTACACTTTCCATAGAAGTGTAAGCAATATAAATACAGTTTAATGCAGATTTCTGACAGGTTACATCTTGGCTTAACAATGCCAATTTAATATGCAGAAGGGAAGAATACTACATAAACAATAGGAAAAGTGAAACAGATACATTTTATATTCTATCTACCTGCTTTTCTACAGGCATTTAAAAAGTGTGATCACCATAAAGTCTTTTTGCATGCTTAAAAAATTCTATTTTAATACTATGAGATCTGTTAGGCACATGGAATGTATATTTACATTATCAGTCATTACAATGTTTTGATTAAGGCTTAGCATCTGCTATACCAAACAAATAACACTACTACATCTAGTCAGTATTGCTAAAGGACACGCAGTTCCAGCGTCTAACATAAGAACCAAGACAAAGTACTTGTGCCAAACAAAGAATGTTTTTCCAAAGGAAGAAAAACATTTCCTTTTTGGTTGAGTGCACTTTTTTGGAAAAGATTCTTCATCTAGCCTACTGTGTAGTTGAAGTCAGATAAAAGTACAGTGGTTTTACTGCAGGTAAATTGGAAGAACAGCCCAGTAGAAGAACATTACTTCACATTTGTTTCAAATCAACTTGAAATCAAACTCCAACATAAAAGCAGAGCTAGGAATGTATGTTATTAAAGAGGAGCTAAAATTCTTCCTTCACTTAACTGTTAACACATTTTAACAAATTTGACAATTTGACCATCACTCCTCAATATCAATACTTTCATCTTGCAGCCTTTAATACAGATGTAAACAATGACTCCAAGTATGTGGAAATAAAATGTAAAGTTATGAGTGCTAAAACTCTAGAAACTAGAAAACTAATCAGTCTACATCTAGACAAACTAATCAATACATTCGTTAGGTCTGATTTTCAAGAAAATACTTAAACAACTCTGTGCTACATTCAGCCAAAAGTCTGTAATGCATGAACTGCTAGGACAGAATTCTATTTGGCAAAGGGAAAGAAACAGGAGCAATTATGAAGGGGAAAAGCTGTGCAAAAGAAGCTCACTGTGCTGGATATACCACCTCTTTCCCACAGAGCAGGAAATCAAAAACATTTTAGTTTTGATTCTCACACACACTTCTTTAAAACCTAGATTTCTCCATTGGTAACAACAAATTGATGTAACTATTATCTTGCTTGATTTAAAAGTTCTATTCTTTAAGCAATGGGAAATTTTAAAATACAGCAGCAGATGGAAAATAAGGGGACTGAAATTCTATATATATATATATATATATATATATATAGAGAGAGAGAGAGAGAGAGAGAGAGAGAGAGAGAGAGAGAGAGAGAGAGAGAGAGAATGAGAATCAACTTGATGTTATATAGAGGAAATCTATTAGACATCAATTTTGGAAAAGGTCTCAGATTTTTCCAGCTAGTCCAAAAACCGGAATTTTCAGACAAATTCCATCTTTATCTCTGCCTGTCTCAGTAAAACCCTAATTAGATATCAATTTTTATTTTCTTTGCAATGCTTAAAAAATAATTTCACAGTGTAGAATTCCAAACACTGGCACCAAAACTTAAACATTGTTTTGCAAACACATCAGAACAAATCCATTTCACACTTAGAGGCAATATCCGTAGGGGAAGGAAGTGTTAATCCGTTTGTTAAAGGCCAAGTCAGGGCCTTTCATAAGCAAAGGCCACTATGAAGCCAAGAGAGAGTTTTACCCTCCAGTCATGATAATTATTTTTTAAAATCTTCAACGTTTTTTCTCCTGTGCCAGCACAAAAAAAAATTAAAGGGATTTTGTATTATATCAGAGCTAAGAATTTCATATGCATGTCCCTTCCTCTGGTTGTTCACCAATGTTCCACAACCACAGAAGAAAGTAGGCATTCTGCCATTAGGAAACTGTTATCCTTGGCATGCAAACTATTTCCTGCAACAATGAATGTGTCATAAGTGAGAGACCAGGGTTCCCATGCAATAGTGTGTTGTTAGGGTAAACACTGGTATAACACCTTCAGAATTCACTAAATGATTGATTTCAGAAAAGGATAATAAGGTGACTACTCCCCCTCATTGACAAATTAATCACCCCTGTTTGGCAGAAAACTACATATCATCCTTTCTATACTTTCTAGTCTATCACAAAAGAAAAAGTAAACGACATCTGCACTGCACACAAAGTTAAGTGCTTGTAAGGGTTGAGAATCTGCAAGAGTTATGTACCAAATGAAACAAACCCCTCAAATCCCTTGCTTACCATCACAGTTACTCAGAATCTGGTATTGTCAGTGCAATTTTATCAATGTTTTCTCAGATTTAATTCCCATTGGGTTCAAAGGGACTTACTCATGGGTAAATTTTGTATAGATTTGGAGCACGTATCAAGAGAAAAAAAATCCCTCAGTTACCTAGAGTTAAAAACATATCCTATTCCCAGAACTTCAATCCTAGACCAATTTTTTTAAAAAATTAAAAAATAAATAGCATGTCTCAAATTAATTAAATAACATGCCTTTAAACTTGTCCATTATTTTCAAATGAGAGTAAAAGAGAAAGCAGAAGCAGACAGAAATTATCTGCACATTTCCTGCTTTTTTTTGGAAGGAGAGATTGTTGATGTCAATTCAAGTGTTTATTAATCAACAGCGCCATAAATATTTGCCCTAACCAAGGAGTACATGAGTGCTCAGATATGTTCAGGGCTCTCAATGATCAGACAGATGCATCTGTTTGAGTTAAAAGGATCCAAAGTCAACACATGTACTCTTTTGTGTATAGTACACTTACTAACCTCTCACCACTGTAAGCAATAGCAGGATTAGCTAACAACTGTATTGAATTGCAATACAGTGGTACCTCGGCTCACGAACGCTTCAGTTCACAACCAAATTGGATCACAAACAAAAATTTCATAAAAATTTTGACTCGGATTGTGAACTCCACATTGGGTGGCGACCGTGACTGCAGCTGTCTCCCCACCCCACCCCGAGTGGAGATCATGCTGGAGGCAGGGCGGAGATGGTCAAGATCACGCCCGTCTTTCCTGCACAAGCGTGCCTGTGATTGTGCCCATCCCTCCCCCGCAGCACACCCACGTTCGCCACCAGGACTACGGGCACATGCAAGGATGACAGGCGCGATTGTGGTTGTTCTGGGAGGGTGGGGAGATGGCCGTGCTCATCCTTGGGGTGAGGGGAGGGGGGAGATGGCCATGATCTTTGTTGTTCTTTGTCACTTTGTTTCACATTTTTCTGATTAAAAATAATAGTTACGGAACGGATTAACCTTATTCACACCGACCCTTATGGGGAAATTTAACTCGGCTCACTACCAACTTGGGTCACAACCAGAACCCTGGAATGGATTAAATTCATGAGCCAAGGTACCTCTGTATTCGTTCAACTGCTCTATGTCTTTATGATTAAGTAACCCAACAGCAGGAGTAGTGCAGTCCTACGTTTCCTCTGGCTTTAACTCATTGATTTTGATTTTGTTCACAATCAGAATGTCATGTTAGCCACAAATAAATAGCAAATGCAATTTTTAATAAGTAGCAATGGGGGAAAATAGCTGCCAATACTTAACACTGGTATACTGGGAAGCAGCAGTTCTAGTCAGGGCCACATTCTTTTGGAGTGACCTGCTGAGGACTGCGTGCCAGTGGTGCGTCAGACTGAAGCAAGCAACGTTCACAAGCAGAAGCAAAAGTGGGTGGGGCTATCCTTGTCTTTTCTCTGGCCACTTCTTTCTCCCCTTCTCATTCCTGCCCAGTGCGCTGCTAGAGAAGGAACAGAATGCTTTTGCTAGAGGCCTGAACTGATGATTTGCAAAGGGCTGGCTTGACTGCAGAATATCCAATTCCTACTTAGGCAATGTTACACTATGGCCATTGAAACTGAACGTGCTGTAAATGTAAACATGCTGGTTTCCAGAAAGCTGCCATCCTTACCTCCAGCAAGGGTTAGAAATGTATGGCTCTAAAGCAGTTGTTGGACTACAACTTCCATCATCTCCATCCACTGGCTATCCTGGCTGAAGATGATGGAGTTGGAGCACAAGATTTGGAGAACCACAAGTCCTCACCTGACCTAGAGAAAATTCTGTTTTTATTAGAACTGTTATATATTCGTAAGAACAGGTTACAACAAAAACAGCCTTTTTATGCACGAAACATAAACAAAGAATACAAGGGGTATGCAGGGAGAAGATACCAAAGATGTTTGTCCCATGCCTGTGCTCACCAATTATCTTAAGAATAAGGATACTCACCTCCTCAGTTTAACACTTTTGATAGCTACAGATGAAAAGCACCACGTAAGAACTAGATACTGCTACTATGTTTTAGCCAAAAAGATGAAAGAAAAGTTAAATTAAAATAGCTCATAAACTCCTGCACATATATTAAGTCTCAAAGTAATTATCATCAGGGACCACCTGTTTCCATAAATTTCTGATCTGTTAGTGAATACCCAGCAAAAAGTCTGGCTAGATTTTGATTGTTCCTATTGACACCTACAAGTCATAATGCTGATTCCACTTTGGATCAAGGGTATTCTTCACAGTATCTGTAGAATGGCACTGGCCAGATCCGTCAACCACCACTTTAGCAAATGGATCAGGAAGCCCTGTCAGGAGGGAGCAAAAATACATAATAGGGTGGGCGTATAATTAAAGTATATAATCTTAGTCATAACTGATTGCCATATGTTGGCTTTCTGTAACAAGCATTTTAATCCTTCAAAGTTATTCTTTTGAGTCAATAAACATTAGTATTCATACATTATCCTAGAAAATCTGTTTCTTTTGGGAACATTTTAGATCATTCAACTTCTATTTCTGTACTCAACCTTTCCCATTTTGACAGAAAGATGGGAAACCTGTACTCAACCTTTCCCATCTTGACTGTCCCTTTCAAGTATTGCTAACCAAAAGTGTTATTCCAAAATAATGAAAATAGAAATTCACTAGTGTTCTTTTCTATAAAAAAATGTAGCTACAAGGAAGTCCATAGTCTCTCTTTTTATTTACTTGTTCATTACAACACACATGCCATTCAGAGTTTATTTACCTAGACACATGGCATAGGTGCCTCAAGACACAGTAGACTGTCGTCATCATCATCTCTAAAAGAAAATTGGTTCTTTACAACAGCTCTCACAACTCAAATACTTTGAAGAATGGGAAGGGGGCTTTTTTTCTGTAGTTCCAAAATCAACACACCTGGGCACTTCTTGAAACCCCTAACTGCATAACCACAGAGTAAGCATTATACATTAAGGAATGTATATAGCAATTACTAATTTATAAATATTCTGTAGTATACAAAAGACCACAGCCAAAAACAACGCCTTTAATATCAATTCAGACCAAATTACCAAAAGGAAACCCAAGCGAAAATACTTTTCACACCAGTCTTCTGCACTCCTTTTCAGTTTCCCTTGTACATATGCTGCCTCTTCAACTCAAAAGAGTTCTTAGGTGTTCTGTCATAACAATTCCAAAAAGGCAAATCGACAAAATTGTTAAGCCCTTTGGACTGTGGCCCTGAAGTATAGGCCCACTCAAAATACATTAATGATCCACTTTTAGATGTTCAATATGCAATCTAGAAAGTTACACAAAATCAAAATCAACAATTAACTTTAGACAATGCATCCAAAAATGTCAAATAAATATATGTGCCAGAAATAAAGGGATTTAGAAATACCATATTTGAAATGCAACAGTATCAACAAACACTGTCAGCACATTCCATAACCTTAAGTACTTGAATATGAAAGGTCATAATTCAATCGAATTCATGGTGACTTAGATCTCTCTGGCTGAGAAGCTTGATTATGAAATGGTAACAAGTATAGAGAGACATTAAAATCCAATGTTAAATTTAGAAGGTAAACAAAAATGCATGAGTATTTACTTACGGAAAAAATCTTTTTTCACCAAATTTTTTGCACAGAGAACTGTAAGGAAAAAACAAGATAAAATTATAAGTTAAAAGATATTTACAGAGCATTTCCAAATCACTCAACAGTATAATCATTTGCAAGTTTGTTCAGAAGTCAACAGAATTTGCTGCCTAATTATGTTCAGAATTGCATCTGAAGTGTTACATGCTGCAGACTACAATCCTTAAGTCAAACATATTAGCCTATGCACTGTTGCCCCAAAACTACTGTACTGCCACACAACTCCCTCTGCCACTGACTTCAGTGATAAAGGAAGAAAATTTTGCCACATATGTCTTGGTGCAAAGCAATTCTCACAAAATTGCTTGCATCTAAGAGAGCCTCTTCTCACTCAACTTCAATTAGAGAAGGAAAGTTGAGCTAACCTGAAGTTTACATAGCCATGAATTTCACTGCAGCTGTCCTCCAAAGGAAGAGAAAGCAATAAAGGTGCTTAAGGTGGGAACTATTTCACTGGCTGATCTGCCCATCACCATCAGTAGGCACCAAGGGTCGTTGCAGCTTTATATATTCTAAGTGGGAGGGAAGAATGTATGGCATGGTACGATACAGTACAAGAATATCTAGTCTAAGAAAATAAGTATCTTCAATGAAAGTATGCTTGGACAAGCTGAAAATGTGCATGAGGTCAACAGGTTTGTGGAGAGTAGGACAGAGAGGAGGGAAAGGTGGTCTAAATGGGAACAAATGTGGGGAACAGAGAACTTTAAGGGAAAGGACCTCTGTGATAAGCTTATTTCTATATGCCAAATACACTGCAAGTTTTGGTGGACTCTTGTTCAGCTTTAGGAACACCTACTTAACCTTCATGAAATAAACGGGATTGCTTTGCATTGTATTTCCAAAATCAATTTCATTTCAAATATCAGATCATGAGATTCCAAAAACCCAAATCACGTGATGCTTTCAAGGTTAGCCGTTTATACAGATGAGCAAATACAAAACAAGTATCTGCATACTGAAATATAACATGGCTGTTTGTGATTTTAACTCTAAGCAGAATACCATCCATTACTATCCATGAAGTTTTGACTTAACTATAAATAGGTGAAACACTAAATTTGCTGACTAAATTCACAGACGATACCAGAGTGGGGGTGGTAGCCACAACTGAGGAGCAGGTAATCCAGATCCAGAAGGATCTGGACAGGCTGTAGAAGTGGGCAGGGGACAACAGGATAGCATTCAATGTGGATAAGTGCAAGGTCTTGTACTTGGAACACGAGAATAGGTTTGTTTCACAGGTACAGGATGGGGGACAAGTGGCTGGAGAGCAGCACTTGTGAAAGGGATCTTGGGGTATTGTGGACAGCAGGATGAACATGAGCCAGCAGTTAAGAAGGCAAACGCCACCCTTGGAGCATGGCTTCCAGATCTATGGAGGTGTTGATAGTGCTCTATATGACTCTGGTGAGCCACAACTGGAGTCCTACGTCCAGTTCTGGGCTCCACATTATAGGAGAGACAAAGCCAGGTTAAAATCGGTTCAGTGCAGGGTCACAAGAATGGTAGCTGGTTTGGGAGGGATGACATATGTGGAAAGATTGAGGGAACTGAGTCTCTTCAGCCCGGAGAAGAGGAGACTCCGGGGGGATCTTTTAGTGACTTATAGGTATGTGAGGGAATGTCACAGGGAGTGAGGCTGTGACCTGTTCTTCCCTGCAGTGGAAGGCAGGTGTGTTTCAATGTGGTAAAGCTTAAGGAACCAGACTTCAGGTTGGGTGTCAGGAAGTACTTCTGACAGTTAGGACCCCTAGGATATTTATTTTTATTTATTGAAAGCTTTTCTATCCCACCCCCTACAAATATCTCAAGATGGGATAGAAAGGATATGGAATGGGCTTCCAAGGGAGGTGGTTGAGGCCCCACCAGTGAGGGTGTTCGAGGAAAGATTGGACAACAATATGTTGGGAATTGCATGAGCTGAGTCAGTTGGAGATGGGGGTCAGACTAGATGGCCTGGGAGCCACCTTTTTAAGTTTCACTATTTTTGTTTCACATTCAAAATAAATCACCTGTAAAGTTAAACTATTTGTTATATACATGGATTTCTTTTAGCTCACTTTTTCTATACAAATAAAACCTGTGGCATCACTTTTTCCTTAAATTAACTCTTCAAAGCAGTCTTTAATACAGTGATGGTGAACCTTTTACAGACCAAGTGCCCAAACTGCAACCAAAAACCCACTTATTTATCACAAAGTGCCAACACTATAATAAAACCTGAAAACTGAGGTTTTAGTTAAAAAAAAAAACTTCACAGTCAGTCCAAGCAAACACACACACACAGAGTATATCACAGAAGTGAGTACAACACCCCTCACATTTTGTAAATATTTTATCTTTTCATGTGACAACCCTGAAGAAATGACACTTCGCTACAATGTGAAGTAGTGAGTATACAGCTTGTATAACAGTGTAAATTTGCTGTCCCCTCAAAATAACTCAATACACAGCCATCAATGTCTAAACCGCTGGCAACAAAAGTGACTACACCCCTAAGTGAAACTGTCCAAATTCGGCCCAAAGTGTCAATATTTTGTGTGGCCACCATTATTTTCCAGCACTGCCTTAACCCTCTTGGGCATGGAGTTCACCAGAGCTTCACAGGTTGCCACTGGATTCCTCTTCCACTCCTCCATGATGACATCATGGTTCTGGTGGATGTTAGAGACCTTGCGCTCCTCCACCTTCCGTTTCAGGATGTCCCACAGATGCTCAATTAGGGTTTAGGTCTGGAGACAAGCTTGGCCAGTCCATCACCTTTACCCCCACCTTCTTTAGCAAGACAGTGGTCGTCTTGGAGGTCTCTTTGGGGTTGTTAACATGTTGGAATATTGCCCTGCGGCCCAGTCTCCAAAGGGAGGGGATCATGCTCTGCTTCAGTATGTCACAGTACATGTTGGCATTCATGGTTCCCTCAATGAACTGTAGCTCCCCAGTGCCGGCAGCACTCATGCAGTCCCAGACCATGACACTCCCACCGCCATGCTTGACTGTAGGCAAGACACGCTTGTCTTTGTACTCCTCACCTGGTTGTCGCCACACACGTTTGACACCATCTGAACCAAGTAAGTTTATCTTGGTCTCATCAGACCATAGGACATGGTTCCACTAATCCTTGTCCTTAGTCTGCTTGTCTTCAGCAAACTGTTTGCAGGCTTTCTTGTGCATCATCTTTAGAAGAGACTTCCTTTTGGGATGACAGCCCTGCAGATCAATTTGATGTAGTGTGCGGCGTATGGTCTGAGCACTGACAGGCTGACCCACAACCCCTTCAACCTCTGCAGCAATGCTGGCAGCACCCATACGTCTATTTCCCAAAGCCAGCCTCTGGATATGACGCTGAGCACGTGCACTCAACTTCTTTGGCCGACCATGGCGAGGCCTGTTCTGAGTGGAACCTGTCCTGTTAAACTGCTGTATGGTCTTGGCCACCATGCTGCAGCTCAGTTTCAGGGTCTTGGCAATCTTCTTACAGCCTAGGCCATCTTTATGTAGAGCAACAATTCTTTTTTTCAGGTCTTCAGAGAGTTCTTTGCCATGAGGTGCCATGTTGAACTTCCAGTGACCAGTATGAGAGAATGAGAGCGGTAACACCAAATTTAACACACCTGCTCCCCATTCACACCTGAGACCTTGTAACACTGAGGGAGGGAAAATGGCTAATAATGCCCAATCTGGACAGTTTCACTTAGGGGTGTATTCACTTTTGTTGCCATCGGTTTAGACATTAATGGCTGTGTGTTGAGTTATTCTGAGGGGACAGCAAATTTACACTGTTGTACAAGCTGTATACTCACTACATTGTAGCAAAGTGTCATTTCTTCAGGGTTGTCACATGAAAAGATATAATAAAATATTTACAAAATGTGAGGGGTGTACTCACTTCTATGATATACTGTATATATATATATCCATGGCAGCGCACTGACCGGCCATGCGAATGCTTGGGTAAGTTGTGGCTAATGAGTCGTGGCTCATGATGTCAACGTCTGGTGCCCCCACTTCTGAGCATGCACATGGCCCCTATGTGTGCTGTTATTTGATGTTCAGCTGGTGGGGCGATGCTGGGACGACTTGGTTCGCGTGCCGACAGAGAGGGTTCTGCATGCCCGCTGTGGCACCTGTGCCATAGGTTCGCCACCACTGCTTTAGTATATTCTGCATAGCCCTGTTAGCATCATTTTGACACACCTATAAATATTTTACTGCATTTTTGAGACCTAGAAATGAAAGTTGATTTCCTCTCCCTGTCCTATTGTGTTCAACTGTATGTAATAATTTTGGAATAGGAACAGACCAAAATGAAAAACTGTGTGTGCATAGCAAGGGAAGCTAATGTATTCCTTCAAAGTACACAGGTACACCATGTCATCCTTATTCAGTCTCTTATCAATAAACTGTTTGGGCAACCAGGTAGGTGGCACATCAATGCAATCCCAAATGTGTCCTGACTGTTTAGCACAAGATACAGACACTTCAAGACTGACACTCAGACAGGTACAGCAACTCCCCACTTAGCTGAGAGAGTAATAAAGGATTTATTTAGAAGGAATAACTAAATTAAACCTTTGTGTTTTGAAGATGAAACTTCCTTACAGCCTCTTACTACATTCCCTAAAACACCATACCCAACAGCTTAAATATTTCCAAGCAAAGTTATCACAATCCACTGATTGGGGATTGCAGAATTAAAATTAACCCCATCCATACATTCTTAAAGATGAATATAAGCTAAGCATGAATGACAAAGAATGGCATTTCTTATGTTATTGAAACCAGGAATATACAAGCTTCAATCCCCAAAGCCTTTACTGTTTGCTCTCAGAGACCTTTTGATAACCCCTCCCAACACCCACTGCTGAATACTCCAGGACCTGTACTCTTGGTGCTGTCTCCCAGAGACCCTAACAGCAAGGGAAAAGCAACCTATATCTGAGTTACTGGGATGTTTGTGTATGTATATGCATGTGCATACGCACACTCTGTGACCCCTGATCCTCAGGCCACTAATGTATGTGGTCCACAAGACTGAAAAAGTTGTACACAGCTGTTTTAAGCAAATCTTTAAAATTCAATTCAGAGTTACATCACATCTGAGTGACAATTTGCCACTCAGATTTCAGGAAGCAGTTTCTGTCAATCTGGGAACAGTATGTTTGATTCTCATTCACCAGGAATATATTGCAGCTAGATTAAATAACCAACAGATCAAGTATGAACACTGAACACTTGAGTTCTTTAGGGCATGGTGGAAGATATATCTGAAGCTCTTGTCTTTCTTCCTTCTGGTTTCTCAGACATTTAATTTGAATGTTAGGAGCTTCCATGGATATACTTATTTTATTCATGTACCTATTTACACACTTATTTTATTTGCACATTACACATTTTCCATCAGTTTTTAAGATAACTGAGCATATCTGATTAAATTAAGCAAAGACATATTTTCAGAAACAAAAACAGGACATTACGAATCCATTACAAATATTTATCGCCTTGACACCATTTTTTCATGAGAGAGTATCTCCAAGCTAGGGTTAAGGATTTAGAGTAGTAATGGAACACCATGATACCATGCAATAAGCAATCAGGTACAGATATATAAGGCTTTCTGTTGGAATCTACACTACATTTACAATACAGGTACCTGTATACTTAACAGGCAAGGAAAACTTACTTAAACTTTCCAAATACCGCATGAAAAGAACAATGCACAGTGAGGACACTCTTCCCCAATGGCTTTGTTGTCTGGCAGGGGATAACTTAATATTATACATAGTGAAATCATTATAACTGTGAAGTCCTCAGAACAGGAAGCCTCCCACTCCCTCCAATATCAGGCAATTCTTTGTGCATCAAGTCAGGATTCTGTTGCACCGATAAAAAGCCAATTCTTTCTTTACATCCCACTTACACTTGTGAATAGCTTTGGATGACAACATTACTGCCCACTTTCTTTTTGATTCCCATCACCCTCAATCTCTGTGACTGTGTTCTCAAGTGGTTTCTTCCTACCTATGAGATCATGCATTCAATAGTTTTACTGGGGGAAGCTTTTATTCTGTGTTTTCTCCTACTAGGGTTCTTGACCAAACATGAGATGGATTGATTCCATAAAGGATGCCATAGGCTTAAGTTGACAAGAGCTGAGCAGAGCTGTCAAGGACTAGACATTTTGGAAGGCATTCATTTGTGTGGTCACCATGAGTACAAAAAGACTTGCCAACATGTAACAACAATAGGTTTCTTGAGGATTTTTTTTCAGGGGGCCTTTGCTACTTTTCTTTTTTCTACATGCTAATCACCTTGTCAAAGTCTATGAATTTCAGTACTACATGTAAGCCAAGGGCTCTCAGCCATAGCTTTCGATCCAAGATCTTTCCCCTTCCATGCAACTCTTCACCTTCAGCACTTCTAGCTGGATATTACTGCAGTCTCAAATGTAACAGATCCAAGACTGAACTGCTCATATTCCATAAGATGATAAGACGAGCCCTGCTGGATTAAACCAAAGGCCTATTTAGTTCAGCATCCTGTTTCCCACAGTGGTAAGCCAGATGCCCATGGGAAGCTCATGAGCAGGAAATGAGGGCGACAGCTTTCTCCTTCAGTCATTTCCCAGTAAATGGTATGCACAGGCCTCCTGCCTTGGATTCACGAGGTAGCATATAATCAACATGGCTAGTAGCCATTCACAGATTTATCCTCCATGAATTTGTCTAAGTTGCTGGCCATCATCATCACATCCTGTGGAAGCAAGCCACATATGTTAATTGTGTGTTGTGCAAATTGGTACTTCATTTTGTCTCCCATGTTACTTTTAAATAATAATTACTCCCTGTATCTAGCCTTCACATCTGGATTCAGATAACCAGATTTACACTGGAAAGCCAGTGTGATCCAGTGGTTAGAGTGTTGGACTCATAAGATCCAGCATCTAGTCCTCAGTCAGACACTGGGTGACTTTGGGCCAAAAACTGACTCTAAGCCTAACCTAATTCACAGGGTTGTTGTAAGGATAAAACAGAGAGAAACAGAAACTGTAAGCTGCCTTGGGTTTCTTGCAAGATGAGAAAGGCTAGGATATAAAACTAATAATAATTTAATAATGGTATTATTGCCACCCATGAAAGGACAAGTTGCTTACTTATAACTATCATTTACCAATACACACATATGTTATAAGTCAATTGGATCATTGCATAGCTGAGCAGAGCTTCGGGTGGGAGCCCTGTGCAAATTTGAGGGCATGGCTCCTTTCCCCCACCCAGTTCTGGGTCTCCCAACAGTGTGACATCAAGGCAGAGAAGAATGTAAGTAAATTCATACTAACCACTCAAAGAATTATAGTGAAAAGTAAACAACTCTCCTACTTTTTAGGGATCTCTCATGCTTATCAGTCACATGAGCAACTAGTAAGCAATTACTCAATAAAAGGAGGGAGATACAACTCCAAAACTGTAGAGAAGACAGCTTGGCATCCAAGCAATTGTACTTGATAAAATAGATGGATGAGTCCCATCACCACATAAGCACATCATAACAGTTCTATTCAGTCAGTACCCTTGCATATAGTGACTTTTGTCAAAGAAATTGAAAGTCCAAAACTATCAAGAAGGAAGAGCTGGTAATTAAGCTGGACAGAGCAATTTTTGCAAGATGAAAACTTTACACTGAATGGTCATGTTGGTAAGTCAGTGTATCTGCAGATTAGAACTGCTAATTCATGTAAATATCTTGTTTAAATGAGACAAGTGTAGAATTTAATTTCCATTACAATCCAATTTAAAGTAGAAAAACCAGGGGTTACATTTATTAATTTTTATTTGTTATGTATATAATTAAATAACTGATTGTTATCCACTCAGGGACATACATTAAACCCCACTTAGAGGTACACTGCAGTCCTAGTCAATTTGTCTCAAAAATGTATACTTTAACACATAAAATTGTTTTGGGAGGAAAGTCTTCTTTGAAAACAACATACCAGCTCTCACTGAAGATACAATTTTGCAAATTTCCTTCTTCCAACATTCCAGAGCTACCAGGCATGCAAAATTGGGAGGGAAAAGAAAAAATGGTCAAGATGAAAAATGGGGAGGGAAAACATTTTCAGGAACTGCTGTTCCTACAGAGTTCATATAGCATGCCAGACACGATTTTGACAAATACTTTATTGCTGGACGCAGTAGTACACCGCAATTTCAAAAAAGGCAAGGAAGAGAGGAAAAGATGGGACAGTGATTTTAAATAACCACTGCCTGGATTCATTAAAATTAGAAATTAATTCACACTTCTGCTGGTTTGGAAATTGGAGATGGCTATGCATCCTCCTGCTCCTTTACTAATCTCTACCCACTCAAGATGGCACATTGTCTCTGTTTTTGTATTTTAATCTACTTGTTTTCATTTTTATTGTCAGAAGATGTTTTAACTGTTTGTAATCTGCTTAGAGGGCCCTTGGGCCAATTTTGTGGAAAATCAGTCAAATAAATAAGCACATGTATATAATGTGTGACTTCTTTTATATTTTGGTACCTCAGCTTTTCTGGTTCCAAAAAGCAGAAAAGTTTTGACACGAGTAGTCCTCTATCACAATACTTTTCACCAAATTAGGCAAATTAGCAGTGTTAATTGAATATACCAGCTTAGTCCAGGTAAAGTGTGACTTGCTTCAGGCAAACAATAAATGCCACTTCTATTTTAATGATACAGCATTTTTCAAATTAAAAGCTCATGAAGCAGATAAAATTATCAGAGCTGCAAAAATATTTTGGTCACTCTTTTATTATATAAATAGCATTTTGAGAAAGCAAATTCAAGAATCTGGCCTTTTTACTTTTGGATTAACTTCTTATGATAAACAGTCTAAGTGCCAGTTTATTTTAATCTTGAACTGCAAATATGAACTTTATATCCTTAAATTTATATACTGCAGAACCCCTGTAACCACTGGCTCAGTTTACCGCCTTTTCAGTTAATCATGATTGACCTCAGCCAGAAAAAGAAGTCATAAAGTGCTTCCTATATGTGAAAATTTTTGATTTAATAAGGAAAGAAAAAAATCATATGTTGAGGTAAGAACAAACAAAATTGTGAAAAAGAAGCATATATAGTATATAGTAGTACATATAATACAGTGTCACTATCATCCACAGTTTCAGCTGAGGGGCTTAGAACTTATCTGTGTGGATATGAGGGTCTTGCTGTAGTTCTGATTGTTCTTGAGGAAAATGTTTCAACTAAGGAAACAATTGTAGGATCTTCATCATTAAACATGTCTGAAGAATCATATCAGATTTCTAGGAACCAGCTCTATAGAACACTGAGAAATGTTTACATTTCTAGATATCAGCATCATGTTTTTAACAATCTGGCAAGCAAGGCACTTGGAAGTTCCCCGGTCAAATATAAGAATAGGGAGAGTTTAAAATACAGCTTGTTTAAATATCAATACTCAACACAATTAACTTGTCTTTGATTATGGACAAAATGTCTATAATCCTGTATTTAGACAACTAGATTATTTTACTTTGGTTAAAAATCAAGGACAACCATGACTGAAATCCCAGCATATTTTAAATACACAAGCCTGATGAAAAATAACATTGTTATTACTAATGTCCAAAAGCAACAAATTCCAAGCTAACATACAACAATGTTATGGCAGGAAGCAGAACGTGATTCAAAGTAATGACTGAATGAGTTTGTGCAATATGATAATCTACCCTGTGAATAAACTATATGGTATGGATTTGTGCAACAACTCATAATTTGCCTGGCAGGTGATCAGAGTCACTGTGACTTGTCCTCCCTTCCTTTTCCTCTGACCTCCCACTTCTGTCCCAGAAGATTTAATGGCTGAAGCTGAAGTCCAGGCCCAATTTAAGGTGCTGCTATTGACCTATAAAGCCCTAAATGGCTTGGGACCAGAATACCTGAAGGAATGTCTTTTTCCCTATATGCTGTCCCGCCCCCTAAGATCTACAGCAGAGGCCCTGCTCCGGGAACCCTACTTGAAGAAAATTAGGACAGTGAACACCCGGAGGAGGGCCTGCTCTGTGGTGGTGCCCTGACTGTGGAATGGGTTCCCCAGAGAGGTTCACCTGGCGCCAATTTTATATGCTTTTTGGCGCCAAGTAAAAAACCTTTTTATTTGCCCAACATTTTAAAGCTTAAATAATTTTAATCTGGTTTTATTATTATTAAAATTCTCAGTCACATTTTATCTTGTTATTGCACTCTTTGATTGCTTATATTTGTTTATTTACATTGTAAGCCATCCTGAGACAATTGGATTGGATAGGATGGGATAAAAATATTCTAAATAAATAAATAAAATAAGCCATCTTATCTCCTCTCCCTAATCCAACTGTGATTAGGGAGAGGAGGGAGGTCTTTTTCCAGTAACCTTCCCCCTTTTTCTCCCTTCTGAGACCTCTGCCAGTGACAACCCTTCAGAATTGTCTGAACAGCATGATGGAGTTCCATCACTGGTTCACCATCTTACTTTTTCAAAGTGCCACGAATGTGAACAGTTTTTAATTTTTAAAAATGGATATTCACAGTTGCTCATTTACAGGTGATTGAAATGTCTTACCTATTCAGCATCATAGTAAGTTTCTACTGTCAAAATGAAGGAGGTACCAGCCATGGACATTGCCCAAACAAGGCTACAAATATTTTATTACTCTGCTTCTCACTTAGCAGTGGTCAAATAATGAGCTTTTTGAGCTGTTAAGAAAAAAGCCAAGCCATTAAAAGATTTCTGCTTCTAAAAGGGGGTAGTGAGTGCATCACTCTCTTCACAGTGAGATCTTCCAGTTTCAAAGAATAGACCCAAAAGTTCTCAAGGACCTTCACCTTTTCTGAAATGCTAGGTACTTGGGAAAAGTGCATGCCACCTCATTTATCAGAGAATGGGGTTTTGACAGCTGTCAAAAGCAAGGGGTTTTAAGAGGGTTTTTTCACACGGCCAAACAGTTTTTTCTGAAAGGAAATATGCATGAACAGCGTTGTTTGGACATTGCTGGAATACAAGGCACCCCAAAGATAGCAGTCCAGGATCACATGACATACAAACCCACTGTGGCTAATTATCTGCAATGGGCTACCATGTCACATTAATGCAGTCAATGTCTTTTCTAATCCTCTGACTTCCTGGTGCTATCACTACAGGGAAAAAATTAAATCTCCTACAGTCAAAAATATAGCTTCCAATATATAAAACAAAATATGCAATAATGCAAAAACATTCTTGCTTCTCAAAGTATGCATTTTAGATTGGTGAGGAAAAGGACAAGGGTAGAAAAAGTTATGCAACACAATTCACACAACAGTTCAGCTTGGGATGGTGGGGTGGCGGGGGGAGAATCCCTGTGCTACCCAAAGGCATATTTTACTGAAAGTCATTACCATAGCTTTCCTGATTGGTTCCCAGCTGTTTGAATGTATTATACAAGGAATATAATCATTAAAATATAACCCAGCTGTAGAAACACAATGCTACACTGCTGTTAATGTGTGTTGCACTGATAATGAATAGACTATGCTTTAATCTGAATAAATCTTCCAACTGCTCAGCTGCCTCTTGCCAAAAATTCCCCTTCCTCCTCCAGACTGTGGTTGCATTCCAATTACACTGCTGATTGGAATGAAACTACTTGGGGGCAGAGGGGAATAAAAAAAAAAGAAAAGAAAACCTGTTTTTTTTTCTTCAAAATACTGCCTCTGGAATCAAAGGACACCATCATTGTTAAACCATCTTTAAATAGTAGGTAAAAATCTAACAGTCTTTATAGAAGAGATTTCTCAAAACCACAATTTAGGAACAGGCCATACAAAATACCCTATTTTCTTTCAGTACTTCTAACCAAATTCCTATGTTTTTGCTGAACTGCTTGCATGCTATATGGCCAATTACTTTTTAATGTTTTGCCTTTCAGATCATATCACAAGTCCAGGGAAGATAAGAAGCAAGATTTCTGCAGGAAGTTGGGAAATTCAGGTATTTAACTTCTGAATAACATGTAGCAAAAACTGAATTAAATATTTATATGAAGCTCCACCTTCCAACTACAAAATAGCTAATGATTTAAATTCAGTGGAATCACAGAAGCTACTGATAGTGTTAGGGAAGGGTCTCTAGCTTATGCCAACTCCCCCCTGCAATTTCCCCCCTGCATTTCCTTATACAAGACCCCATAGTTCTAGAGCAGGTATAGCCAGCTTATGGCCCTCCAGATGTTGTTGGTTTCCAATCCCCCTCAGACCCAGCCAGCACGGCCAATGCTCCAACAACATCAGGAGAACTGCAGACTTCCCACCGGTTTCAAGGTTTCACAACTGCCAGGAGCAGCATTTCAGAGGGCATAGGATCTGCAGTCAGGAAGAATACACAGAAAATTCTGTTCTGTTCACACGATTCAAGCCAATATTCACTGATGTAGGAACTATTTTGTATCATCATAAATTCATTGCAACATTCTAAAGTTCAATCAAAATCATATACTAGTAAAAATTCATTACAACAATGGAATTTTCGTCTTCTCTCTTCCCTTCTGAACCACTCAAAAACCTGATTCAAAGGATTTTCAGCCCTTTGGAGAAGATTTTGAGGGTGTGCAGGGGAGAAGGGAAATAATAGTTTCCTGTTTCCCCTGACAGAAGCTATTCCATCAGCAGTATATTATCATTAGGTTCAACTCACATTATTTTATGCATCAGAGGCCTTCAGCCTTTTTGACAATTTAAGAAACTGCTCTGGGCACCATTACAAAATGTCATATCTATGGACCTTACATTGCATCATAGTCAACAAAAATGCTTGTTGTTGTCTACTGGGTACTATAACATCTTTTTAATAATGGCTTGTCTAATTCAGCTCACTGCCAGTAGTGCAATACAGTTGAACACTGATATTACAACACAGGAAGGATAAACACTCACCATCTCACATACCATAGACCTACACATATTAAAAAATCTGCAAAAAATATTTTTCAGGAGCCTAAAGGAACCATGCTGCGATTGCTTTGAACACTGATGATGCTATATATAATTATTCTCAATGAGGGAAAAATCCTCTCTAATGTTGTAAGCCACCCCGAGGCTTCGGCAAGGGGCGGCATAGAAATGTTTTAATAAATAAATAAATAAATTTTAAAATGTAGTTTTGATTGCATATTCTACTATGGCAGCATAAAAATATCTGAACTATTTCTGCAGGTGAATTTCCAATCCAATGGCCACAACAATGGTGAATGAGGTCACACTCTGGACCTGGTTTTCTCGACAGGGCAGAAAGATGGTGATCTGGAAGTAAGAAACTTGCATTTGATTCCCTTGTCATGGTCAGATCACTTTCTCGTAAGGTTTGAGCTCGGGGCTGGCCTTTCCCTCTGTAAGGGCGCGGACCCCATTAAGATGGTCCACCTGCGGAGCCGGATGGATCCTGATGGATTCCTGAGGGCTCTGGGGGATTTTCTGGTTGATAAGGCTGGCACTTCTGCTGATGCTCAGGTTGATTTGTGGAATGGGCCTTGTCTGGTCCATCAGCTTGGGACCAGGATACCTAAAGGAATGTCTTTTTCCCTATATGCCCTCCCACCCCTTAAGATCTGAAGTAGAGGTCCTCTTCCGGGAACACTCCTTGAAAGACATTAGGAGACAGAATACCCAGAGGAGGGGTTTCTCTGCAGTGGTGCCCTGGCTATGGAATGCACTCCCTAGAGAGGTCCGCCTGGTGCTGTCATTCTATGCTTTTTGGCATCAGGTCAAGACCTTTTTATTCATCCAATATTTTAATGTTTAAAAGATTTTAATTAATTTAATTATTTATTATTGTTATTTTATTTATTTATAATTTATATACATTTTAATTTTAAAAATTTAATTTTAAATATTTAATTAAATTTAATATTTAATTTATAATTAAAATAATTATTTTAAGTATTTTTTATTTCAGTCATGGGTTATTAGTTTATCTTTGTTGGGGTATTTATGATCTTTTATATTGTTGTATTTACAGAAGCTATTTTGTAAGCCATCCAGAGACGCACAGTGATTAGAAATATTCCAAATAAAGAAAGAATGACAAACAGCAAACCCAAGGATTCAGTAGAGCTCTTGTCTCCTTTGCCAAACATAATCAAGAGAGTTTGAAAATCACTTAGTGATTTGGTGCACTTCTTTAGATAATAAAAACAAAAATTATATTGCATACATACCTCGAGTCCAAAGGCTCCTTGGATTTCATATAAGTGCTAAGCTGGCCTTGAGGACAGAACCATATGAATCTTCAATACAGTCCAGTTTTCTGAACCCCAAATGGAGTAATTTATTATGGAACTGCATGAGTATATATGCTCCTAACCAACACATTTTTAATTGTGTGTTAAGCAATTTTATTCTTAACTAAGCAAGCTGTAACAATACATAAGGTTTAAATGTTCTGTTTGAGACAACAGTAAATTCTCAAGACATAAGTCAGTCAAAGTTAGCACTGATTTTATGTGCAAATAAGTATATGCTTAAATCTCTCCTCTGGTGGGATTAGTCCCTAACTATGAGTGGGTTGTTTTTAAGTCAGTAATTCAAATCATGTTTTAAAATCACCAAGAGAAGGCCAGCTTTAAGACACTGATTCAGGGTTCCTAAACAAGCATGCATATAGAGTACTTAACAAGTGAAAATTAGTTTTACAGGTAGAAAGCCAGGTCTTGGCAATTTATAGGAAGGTGGCTTCCTTTTCTGTCCCCACCTCCCCCCACTCCCAGTATACCAGGCACATATGGTACAATTTGCTTAATTACCCACATGACGTGCAACTTCCCATGTTGTCTCAAACCAATGAAATACACAGTAGTGGGTAGCTTTGGAACCACCCCAGAATCCACAGCTGGCACAAACGAGTCACTGCACAATAGCTTTTGATTGGTAATACTAGGAACTGTCCAAGTGGAAGCATTCTCAATTCATCCTGCTTCTTGTTCTTATTGTCCCTTAGCCCAATGGCACTGATGCAAAACTCAACAGGTACAGTATATACAAAGAC